CAGCTTGATCGGTCGGTTGTATGGTAGCTATATGCTATAGTAGTCCGATCTAAAAACTTATTTCAAAGATTGCAACTGAGAGACTAGTTAGCGTATATACAAACAAACGGACATAGCTAAATCGACTCAGCTCGTCACGCTGTTCATTTACATATCCATATACGTATTTTATAGGGTCTCCGACATTTCCGTCTGGGTGGTACAAACTTATATATCCTGTTCAGGGTATAATAATTTTCAATTAACCAGAGCTCTATGATAGTTAACGCTGAACCGAACTACCATAAATAATTGGGTTGCTTTTTTCGGATAGCTAAAAATAGGTTTATAGGTTGCCAGCTGTGTGATAATTTTAAGTAAACCGTATATAATAATACGATCTTATAAAGAAACACTATAAACTTAAACCAGCGGATTAGATAGGCATATTACATTTGAAAATATTTTTTAATTGCGTTGAATGGGTTATACAATGTAGGTATCAAACTAAAGAAGCTTATAAAGGTTTGTAAATAAACATATATATATATATAAAATGGAGTGTTGCAATTTAAAAAATTTATACAATAATAAAAATTAATTATTGCTATATTGATATGTTTTATTTAGGAGATGAAACATGTAAATAATTACTTTAAATATAATATCGGTATTAGATTAAAAAGACTGATATATAATGTATATAAACTAATAAGGAAGGGTTAAGTTCTGATGTAATCGAACATTTTATGCTCTCACAATTTTCAAAGATCGAAGCTGGAGGCATATTTTTAGATGTTGACAAAATTTTCTATAGAAAAACATTGCGAAAGAATTCAACATTCATTATTCGATGAAAGGATGAAAGGACTACAATCATGTTTGCTATTTTGTTAACTTATGACATATAGTCATAAATTGCCGTAGTTTTAATATTATCTTTAACTTCGTGTGCAAGAGAGGTATATTAAAATCAACCTCAAATGGTATATATGAGATACAAATTACTTGTATAGGGGCTAAATTTAGTATATCCAGATCAGTATATTAGTGATATGAGGTTGCGACTAATTTCATTCTTATTCAGCGCTAGACCACATTATGATTAAGAAATTCACTTAATTTCATTAAAATATCACACAAATTGACCAACCGAGTATATTAGTGCTTGGGGAGGTTTGGACTGATTGTAGGTATAAACGTTTGATATCAATCAAATATACTCGATAACACACACTGACCGACATATGAGGCATAAAGTCTGTATAAAGCCAGCGGGAAGTTTAAAATTCTTATATAATATTAGCTATACGAAGGCTGAGGTAGTATTGATTCTATTTTATCCAGTTTTGCCATTACGACATGTCATTATCATAAGCAGATGCTTTCTTAAATTCAGTTATATACCGCACAGATTGACCAATATGTAAAATATAAAGTCAAGCGGATGTTCGAAATTTTTATATGAGGACCAGGGGAAAAATTTGGCTTGATTTTACCTCTTTTTGGAATAAGGGCATAAATGCATATACATATATTCAGTAAAATATAATATCTACATACTTTATTGGTACTTCATTTATATACTGTAAAGTGAAACAAAAATAATAATTTATTAGACAAAAGAATTATTTCAATATTAGACCAGGGTAAATAATTTTTTAAAATAAAACAGATGGATGAAGCCCTTCGGAAATTAAAGATAAAATAACAATCAGATTTCATCTACCTATATTCCATAGAAGCAGCCGTAAAAAAATCAGTTTTGAATTGTTTTTCAGCTGTTAACTGGGGTACTTTTTTCCATTTTCTGAGTAAATTTTCCATAGCAATGAGTATACTTTTTAAGCCATCAGAAAGTAGAAATTTCAACAAATATAAAGCTTGACTTTTATAAAAATCTGAACTTTTGACTTGACAAATTTTGATTGAAAATTAGGGGTTTTTTCGGTTTTAAGTCGAAATAAGGTTTGGGACATACGGAGCTAAATTTACACCAAATATAGTAAAAGAAAAAAAAAAGTGTACAAGAAGAGAAACACAAAAACTTGGTTATTTGCATTTTTCATATAAATATTGACGTTAAGTTACAAAAGTTATAGATAAATATTTTCATTACCTACAATTATATATGTTATAAGCTATATAACTTTTTTCGTAGTTATGTCAGAAATCGAGTTAACCCCTTTTTTAACTCTTAAAAATTCAACTACGCCCCACCCTTCCTTTTCCCGACCACAGATCGCACCGTAAATTATTTTTCCTTTAATGTTTGTAATTTTATATTTCGTTACCGATGGGTTTTAACCTACTTTGAATTTCTTTCTTTTTTTTTCATTTTCAAAGGCATCTGCAAAAGTTTTTTATTACATAAATTATTATAACAATTTGTAAGATAATTATATAGTACATTTCTAAAGGCGTTATTATTTTTGACGAGTGTTACCACGTGTTTAAAACTTTTTTATTTAATAAAAGTTTTAAAATAAATTAAATATTATTTTATGGATTTGGTTCGATTTAAAAACTATTTTTGTCTTAGATATTTTAGAGAAGTGAATGAGAGATTTTAAAGAAAATTTTGATCACAAAGTGGTTACTTTTTAATGAGAAAACAGTGGCATCGTCTAGAAGTTACGATTTATTCGGTCTATGAAACTTGAACTGATTTCGTTTTTTTTTAAATAGTTGCTGCATGTCATACTTGGTAAATTTATGATAAGTCAAATAGCTGAAGAGATTCCTGAAAGAGTTATATGACAGGCGGGTCGTACACATTGAATCAAAAGGTCAAGATAATATAATATATACAAAACATTGCAAGGAAGAATATTTTCATTGTCATAATTATTATTTCATAGAGTTGCCACGTTGACGTATACAATAAATCAAAAGAAATTATCATTGGTGATTAATAATTTTTAATTGTTTTCAAAGGGTTGAGTTTAGGTTTGTACTGATGTTGCCACCCTTATTAAATTCAGAAGTCAGTACATATTATTGTATTAGAAAAATACTATATTGATATTTCATGTTTATGAAAAGGCAGTTTTTAAAAATGTATGCAATATTAGTACATATATATTATTGATTAAAAGTGTAAAATAAATTAGTAACTATTTGAAAGTTTGTAATAATATTTAGACTATTAATAACAGCTAGAAAAAGTCGGCTGCACCGAAGCTACAATACCCGTGAAAAAGTGTTTGGAAAAAAATATTGATTACTGGATTTTATTAATTTCGACGAGAGAAGCATAAAGCGGCGACAATAAAGAAATAATTTCTTATTGCAACTATTAAATCGACACGCTTAGCAGTAGGTTTAGTAAATACATGTATAGACATTTGTTTGTAAGCAATGTATTTAATAGATGCGTGCCTTGTGTAATGCGATTGACTCTGAGCATACAAAATGGATTTTAATAGCGTTTGCAACTCAGTAGATAACGGTTAATAACTAATTGTAGTTTTGATGTAGAGGATACTTTTCATTGGAAACAGTTGTATGAAAATGTACACAAATCTGCGTTGACCGGGCCAATATAAAGTCCGATTCTAAGAGCAAGACAATATGTATCTCTGGCGAGCTTTTTGACTGAGTTCAAAGTTTTAACTACTAGAGGCGGATAATACAAGTTAAGTTAAATGTATATATATTGAATATCAATTCAAATAATTATTTTGCTATAGGCTGGTAATAGGAATGCTTTCTGATTGGGGAGATACCATGCTGGGACAAATACAATAGTAATCAGGGTGACCAGCTGAGCCGGTTTAACCAAGTCCCTCAGTTTTTGAGATATCGATTTAAAATTTTGCACATGTCTTCTTTTCCCCAAGAAGTTGTGCATTTGTCTGAACCGCCGATATCGGACCATTATAGCATTAACTGCCATACAAAATGAATGATCGAAATCAAGTTATTGTATGGAAAAGTTTTTTTTTATCTTCACGAAACTTTATATGGATTATTGTCCAAAGTAACGTTATAATCTCCGAACAAATAGTTCAGATCGGACCACTATACCTGTCATATACACTGATCGATCAAAATTAAGTTTTTGTAAAGAAAACTTGAACCTGTCAAAGGTATTATAGCTTCGGTGCAGCCGAAGTTAACGTTTTTCGAAAAAGTCGAAAATTTTTCATATTCAATACTTAAAAATCACAATTTTTGAAGTACAGCCTTCTAAAGTGTGCCATTCAGTTAAGTCAGATCCATCAGTTTATCTTTAAACATGTTTTTCCCAAAACTACATTTTTGAAATTTTCTTGAGTGATTACTCGGACACAAACGATCCGATCACTATCGACAATGACTTACCAGTTTATTTATTAAAAACCGCCATTTTTTTAACGGAGAAGGCCATAATCACTGCAGTGTTTGAAGTTAATTTTTTTTACCGTTGTTGGAGATCACGTGTAACTTAAATATGTTTAATTTCTTTCTTCAAAAATGTTACAATGGACACAGTTCTTTTTTTATTATTTTCCACACATGACATTTTTGAGGCATTGTTGCCTAAGAGTTGTTGCTCATAGCGCCTACTTCTAATAAAGGTATTTTTTAATGCTATGAATTAGTTCTGCTACTACAAGCTGTCTGAAACCTCGTTAAAACTCAAATAGAGAGATTCCGATGGAGAGCACTTCACAAAATCAGACATAGCGGATTAAAAACCCAATATCTGTTAGGCCTTTAAATAGATAGATATATGTACATATAGTGGATGTAAATCTAGTATTTCGGAGAATTTTCCAAGATCTGGAAGGTATCGAATGAATTATAGATTTCCTAAGCCCAAATATTAAGGTGAAGCAGTTTTTGTTGGATTGGATCAGCAGTCACGTAGATTTTGAACGCTATGATTTGTACAAGGCTACGAATTAAAGCTCTCGTATATGTTACAACAGAACCATGTAGAATTTTGTTCCCATATATTATTAATAATATTATTAGTATGTTTATTATTATTATGTACCTACCGAATATCTTACCGTTTCCTGTTCCAATTCCAGCATAATGTGTTATATTATAACGACTGAGTAAAACAAATTGCGACAATTTATTCATACATCTACGGGTGCTTCCCGCTCAAGTATAATGAATCGTTATATTACACTCTCACAATTGGGTGATGGCACATACGGCACAGTGGTGTTAGCTCAACGCAAGGACACTGGCGAAAAGGTGGCTATCAAACGTATGAAACGAAAATATTACTCCTGGGAGGAGGCGATGAATTTGCGTGAAGTCAAGGTAAAACTTTTGTCATATACTTCTACATATACATACATATAGAATTACATATATGAAATTTGTTTTGCAGTCACTCAAGAAACTCTCTCATCCCAATATTGTTAAACTGAAGGAAGTCATACGTGAGAATGACACGCTTTATTTTGTTTTTGAATACATGAAAGAGAATTTATATCAAATGATTAAGGACCGTGACACACATTTGCCAGAACCGACGCTCAAAAGTATACTGTTTCAGGTAAATTAATTTAGACATGTGTTGAAGGTGTTTAAGTCGACTCAAGCTAAGTTAAAAATTTTAAGAGTAGTGCTGCCGCTACTCAAGATCTAAGTTTAAGCTTATTTTAAGAAAATTTTCCATTAAGAAAAAGTTCCTTAATTTTTATATGATCAGAATATTTTCATAAGTAACAACAGTTCTTACGCAGTAAATTCACGGTTTTGGGAAATTAAAAAAAAAAAGTTCCGCAGTAAATTCTTAGTTTTATTGAAAGTTTTCTCGATTACGACTTAATTGTGTAGTAGTGTACTTAGTTTAGTCTCACAAATTGTAGTATGTTTTGAAAATAGCGTTAGAATGATCAAGGATCTCACAAATCGAGACCTGTATGTCTGAGTTTGTCCTTCACTTTATAGTGAGTGTTACATATATAGTATTTAAATTATAACATATGCTTCTAACAATATAAGCTTTCAAATGTACATACAACAACTGGTTATAGAGTTAAATGTACCTACGCATTTGTAACCAAATCTCTAAATATATTCTATGTCCTTTTGATTAACAGGTACTTACCGGTTTGGCGTTTATGCACCGCCACGGATTTTTCCATCGTGACTTAAAGCCGGAGAATTTACTTTGCTCAGGACCGGAGCTTATAAAAATTGCAGATTTCGGCTTAGCACGCGAGGTACGTTCACGGCCGCCATTTACGGACTATGTGTCGACAAGATGGTGAGTGCATACTTGGAAATAAAAAATACCATCTGATCAAAAAAATATTACGTATTTTAAATACTGATTTATAATTTTCAATTTCCAATTTCCTATTCTTATGGTTTCAATGGACCCATGGCACGTTCTCCGAGGCGGATTTTTTTAATTTCGAAAACTGTGTAAAATGGCAGGAAGTCTTAACTTGGCGTGTATAGTTGAGCGATGACTCTCTGTTTGATCAGTCAGTCTGTGTTTGAAGTCAGTCATAATATTGCTAGAATATGACGGCGCATCATTGTGGTAAAAAATCCATAAATACAATTCCAGTCGTCCAACGTCCACGGAGTATTTCTTACCGATTCATCCTATGACGGTAATCAAAGAAACCGATGAGCATTACCTTGAATATTCACCGACTTCTACGTAGTTTTTTAGGTTTTGGCCAATTTTTTTTACCGTCATTCGCCAGGTTGTTAGACAGTTTCGATGTCATACTCATATGCCCGCGTCTCGTGACCAGTAATGATGCGTATGATGAATGTACGGTCCTCAGTTATGTTATCAAGCTTCTCTTTCGCGACCTCTAGTTGACTTCCTTTTTGCAAAAGATTCAATTCTCTTGGTACGAGTCTCACATTGACACGATTCATTAATAAAACTGTGTTGAGTCGATCTATAATATATGTGGAAGACATCTGTTATCCTTCTGATGCCCATACTATGATTTTCAAGCACTGTTTTTTTATCTTTTTCGATGGACGACTTGCATGATACACGTTTTCGTTGACTTACGACCTTTACTGAATGCTTTGTGCCACTCTAATACTTGTGTTCGGGATACACTAGTCCGACTTAAATTTGATCAGATCAATATTTGAATTTGCAGTTAAATACACCATTCTTGAAATTAATACTTTAAAGGTATCGAGCGCCAGAGGTGCTGCTGCATTCCACAAACTATGGCAGTTCCATAGATTTATGGGCAATGGGTTGCATCATGGCGGAGCTCTACACATTTCGGCCACTCTTTCCAGGCAGCAGTGAAGTGGATCAGCTGTTTAAGATTTGTTCTGTTTTAGGAACGCCAGAGAAGGTATCTATTTGTAATATTTTAACCACAGTGGACCCATAGATATCTTATATTACCAGGGAGAATGGCCCGAAGGCTATAGACTCGCTGCTACCATACACTTTCGTTACCCGGAATGCATCAAGGTGCCGCTCAATACGATTGTGACACGTTGCAGTCAGGCGGGCTTGGATTTGTTGGAGGACATGCTGCACTATGATCCAGATAAGCGACCCACGGCACAGCAGAGCCTTAAATATGCCTACTTTCATGCGCTGAAGCGTATCTCACCCACGGCGGCGGCGAATGCTAATGTCAAACTTACGGCCAAATATGCGGCAGCGGTTGCTGCCACCAATACGAGTACTACAAAAAACACGAATATGAATACGCATGTCAATGGCAGAAATGTGGGGCAATTGCCGAATTTATCGAATAATGTGCTTCCGGTGCAGGAGAAATTACAAGCGGTTACCGAGCTACTGCAGCAAAGTAATCGACAGCATAACAATAGCAATACCATTAATGCCAATAATACCGTAAATACGTCGTTGAGCAATAACAACAACAATCGCGGGTACAACAACATATATGCTAGACGTGCGATAATTCCACTGGCACAAAACCCCAATCAAGTGCAAGCGCCCAAAATCAGTTTCTTGTCAATAAATGGTGGTGATACGACACGCTCCACAATGCCGCTACAAATGTCAGTTGTTAATGCGCAACAAAATTCGCACACAAACAACGGCATGGCGCCAAATGCCATCAACAACGCTGCAAATCGACAATTTCGTGAACAACTTGAAGATAATCTCTCAATAAAGAGCGGTTCCATACGCTACAATACTATACTAGCCCCCGCTAGTCACATATATCTGAACGGTGGTGGTGAGTCTGCGCTCCACAAGCGTTCACAGGAAAATCTCGCATTCACCGAGTCCATTAACGATATCTACTTGAATCGCAACATTGGTCAGCGACAACCACCACAACCGCCAAATGTTTCTTTCAATAGCAGCACTAACCCTGTAGGAAATATTAAAGCCGGTGTCATCTATTTGGCGAATGGCCATAGAAATTATGCACTCTTTGAGACCGCCACGAAGAACGCTAAGAATTCGGCGAAAATTAATGGCTATTACCTGCAGACGCGTCCAAGCTTATTGAATCTCGATGCAATAGGTAAGGATGCGAAGGTCTATAATATGTTCTCCAAAGTGGTACCCAAACAAGCACCTGCAAGCAATCAAATTATGCGTAATGCATTCGAACCGAATGGAGACAGCAATGATTACACAACAAATAATGAGCAAATCGTCGAGAAACCACTTTACGACCATCTCGGTGGCGACAAAAAGTCAATGCCGAACGGTCGAAATACGGAGCTCAGCAAAGACGATGAACTCGATCTTATATTGGGGTAAGTTGAATAAAGTTTTTTCTGTTGTAAATGCTCTTTTTATAAGAAATACTACAGTTTGGTCGCCTAAGTGCGGTCGTCTGCGGTCTGGCGCCCCTGCGCCTCTCTTTTTTAAATCGGCTATCGTTAGGCCCAATGTGCTCTCGGCTAAGGACTGAGCATTTGCAAAGATAATGTTCCAGCGACTCCTCATCCCCAGCGAATGCTCTGCCTTTCGCACTTCCCTTTACCAATCTGAAGGTCGTATTTTAAGGATAGGAGGCCAACAATTTTACTAAGTTCCCTTTTGCCTAGAAGTAGAAGTGTATAAATAATCAGCATGACGAGCTGAGTCATTCAGCCATGTCCGCTTTTCTGTTTATACATGAACTATTCGTTCAATTTTGACCTGAAATTTTGCATACGTCCATTTCTCCCCAAGAAGCTGCTCATTCATCGGAACCGATATCGGGCATACAGCTGCCATACAAACCGATCGATCAAAATCAAGTTCTCGCATGGAAAAGTTTTTTGTTTGGCATCTATTATTATTTACAAAATTTCAGCGTTGTCTGAAATGCTGGCTTCTTTATTAGAGTGTACAAGAACATCCTCATGCAGTTAAATATCTATACGTAGATTGTAGACTAATGATAATTTTATTTTGTAATATTAATTCACCATTCGTACGACATTAATTTTAAAACAAAATCATTATGCTCTCTCTCAAGATTGAGCCACAAATTTCATTGCAAATCCGTTATGAAGTTTGGCTGACACTAATATCTTTCGTAGAAAGTTATCCGAGTTTAAACGTGAGCTATTTTACAGACATCGGCATGTAAATAAGTTTACCATGTTAAATTACTATATTTAAAACGGGTATTTTTTAGACGTGTAGTTTTCAATGAGGCAATACTTTTATCAGAGTTAGTATTTTTGACAGGTTTGGTTTACTATTTCATAATGAATAGACTAATTCCAGAACAACTTTTGCAAATCGTGCAAATTGAATACCAAAATAGTGGTTCGGTTCGCGCGACGCATCGCGGGCTGAGTCGGTTATTCAAGCAACCATTAATAGGTTTCGCACCACTTGTATACTACGAGATAATGCGTTTCCTTAGAGATGACGTACAGTACGCACCGAAGACGATATTGATGCTTTGGAGCAAATTGTGTCTCTCGGGCGGTCACTTAAACGAAAGCATTTTTAAAACATAATGGCAAACCCTAATCTTTATAAAAAAAAGCTAAATTCTTGATCCACATGTCTAAAAACGCACCCTTTAGTATGTGTCACGAATCTTTTCGCAGCAAAACATAGAGTTTTCCTCTGACAAGAAAACTTCAGAAGACATCGTGTTGCTGTCGTTTTTATTGTTTAGTATTCTTTATCTTGTATTATACACAATTGCTATTTCACGCTAAAAATAATTAAAATTATCTGCTCGAGAGATGAATCTTGATTTGCATACAGGTAACGGAGAAAAGTTTGTTGCTTAAGTCTTTTGTTCATCGATTTCTATATGGATGCCGATTAAGTCGTATATTTTGTATCACGAAGTATGGGGGGAAAAATGTCAAAATTCTAATCAAGTGTTTAAAGAATTTTAGAATAGAATAAAATTCGACAACCTTATAATAAATAGATTTTTAATTGTTGCTTGCTATAATTTCTATATTTGCTATTCGAATTTTCTCGATAGTAAAATTATCAACTAAAGTCACAATTCGGTTAAAACTTGATAATTGATTTATGATAAAATTAAATGTAGCTTATTTCTATAAAAGAATGCTTTGAATACGGTGAATTGTTTATAGAAAAAGTTAAATTAAAACTGAGCTTTGCCCTAACATGCTACTTTTAACTTTAAAACCACGAATCAAACTTTCCGATTAACCGGTCAATATTGGAAATGAAGTATTAATAAATCGTCTTATTTCTGGTTTATTTTTAATGATTTTTACATAATCACTAGATTTTAATTTTAAGTTAAATTTTTATTTTTAACAGTTCCAAAATCAAAACATCAGCCAAACGTCAACGTCAACGCAATGGAAAAGCAAATATTTTGCTTGAAGATCTCTTCGGGCACCTATCGCTCGATTCGGATAGCGAAACAACAAAGTATCCAAATACAGTTCCATTAACGACGCAACAACAACAAACATTAGCGGAACGTAACTCCAATTTGCCAAATGGTTATTCCAATGAGACTTCATTGACGGAGAAGAGTAAGATGCACATACCCAGTAGTATTGAAGTAAACAACGGTAGCTATGCTGACTCGCTGTCGACAAATGCGTAAGTAAGCCATAAGCTACTAAAACATTGGTAGATGTGAAGAGAAATCAAAAGATATAAACTAAAGTTGAAAGCTTTTTAAATTTTTGGATTGTGGGAGGGCATTGGCTAATATAATTTCAAATTAATTAAATAACGGTTTATTGATCTTCTAAACATATGGTTTTTGTTTTACGAGGGCAATCTGATTAGTAGCCCACAAAAAAAAGGAAAATTTGGGAAAAACTGGCGATTTATTTTTTAACATTACCTCCTAGTTGTGCGCCAATTTCTTTAACCTGTCTTAAAAATACGTTTTCCGGAGGTCTGGCCGAAATGAAAATAAGTCTCACAGAACCCAATATCGAGAATACGGTGGATGTCATAACAGATAGTAGTGGAACTCTACCAACATGTCATGATGGAATACCACTTTTCGGTGTCAAATCGGCCAAAAAATTTGGCTTTAAAGTGCCTTGGGACCGTTCACTGTGAGACTGTAAACTGCTCCTTGGCCTCTGGTGTACACCAGTCGACTCATATTCTTACTAACTTTAAGGTTTTCGGGGCACTGGCCATGGCTCCTCAAAAGCTGACGTGCAACCATGTTGAAACAATTTTTGACAGTCGTCATCGCAAGATAAAAGTCATTGTATGCAGCATGCAAGAGCTCTCAATTTCAGTGCGCGATTTCCAAAAACAAGAGTCGAAACATCGATCGATATTGTTTTCTTTTAATTTTTCTAAAATCGGCGGGTGTAGCTGCGACCCGCCTCCATTCGCGATCAAAACTAAACTAAGAATACTTCCTCTTTTTTGTTCATTATGTTACGAACTAATACGCGCTCCAAAAAAGTAACGCCAGTTGTACGTCCCAAATGCAGATAGGTATACATGCACTTGGCCATTCGAAGTCCTTGTGGGTATCGAATCGAAGACGCTTTTCACTGGAGCCAGTGCATTCTTCTAATTTTTATCCGCTTATCTATATCCATGCCGACATAGAGCTCATACTGCTCGTTGTTTCATCTTCTTCGATACCTGGAAAAGGCCGCGCTGACGGCTTTGTTGTTAAGGCTTCGATGTCAATATCATCGGTGCAGATAACCGTAGGAGTTTTACAGAGATACCAAATTTAGACATGGCGTCGAATAGGCCGCTCAGCTTAGTTTTATCGTAAGCCGCTTTGAAATCGTGATGGGTGTCGATCTGTTTGTCGGGGGTTTTCTCTCGGATGAAAATCTTGGTGAAAATCTGATATATGGGGGTTTTTCCACGCCTAAAGCCACACTAATTCGGACCATTCAGTTTTTTTTTTACAATGGGATTAACCCTTTCACAGAATACTGTCAAAAGAGTATGCAATGTTAAGATCTATAAGGGAAGAGAAGAAGGGATCTCCCTCATTGTGGATGTATTCCTTGTGTTCCAGCTTCTCAAACTCTTCACATTCACGTCTTTCTGCCGCTCTCTATTAACCATGTTTAATCGTATCTGACGGTCTATGTGATTAATAACATTCGTTTATTCGATTCGCTCCCTTTCAAAGTCTGACGAAATGCGTTAAGGCTTACCATCGATAGCCAAGTGGCAGTTAAAGCAATAATCTCACATCGCATTGCGCCAGAGAACGTGCTTAGAAGCATAGAGGCCGAAGAAAAACACGCATGCTTTTTTACTCGCACGGTATCGAAAGTCACAACTTACTGTTCTCGTATTCTTTTGTCCGGTGCTATCTAGAAATTGGCTTAGATATCTGGGAGCTATGATGTTCAAGGGACTGGATGAAGTATCAAAATTAGATATTAAGTCGAATACTTCAGCTCAAACTGAACCTCCTTCTGGCATTATAAATGATCTGTAGGTCTATGTATGGCGTGACAGCCAGCCAGTATAACCTAACCTAACCTAACCTACAGCTCCCAAAATAATATAAAAATCACTTATTCATCACATTGTACTCATTAGAGTGTGCCCTCTATAGTTATCTAAGTTATTCTAATTAGTGCTTGTTAGTCAAAATCATTTTATCTTATACTTTTTATTTGTTTTGTCCGAATTCGAATGTAAATTTTGTCTCTTGTGTGTATTACTTTCATATAACTATAACTCTTTCTGTATTATGCAATAATGTTTATGCCTTATATGCTTAAAGTTTTTAAACAAATTTTATAAAAGAATAATATTTAAATATTTAAATGTATACTTTATACAACAGTTCTAGTATATCTAAGGATTCACTTGACCCGCCCACAGATGATGAGTGCCAATTTTGGCCCATTAGGTAAAAAACTAGACCTTGCTTATATAAAATGTGATTTCAAAGTAATTTTAGGTAGTGTAATCTGTAGTAAACGCCATTTATTTGTTAATTAGGTAGTGGACAGTAGTTAATTAATACAACAAAAATTAAGTACTAGAAATTAGCATACAAAACTAAACGAAGTGAATTGGACAGATATGCGAGTATATGCGGGCATTTCGAAATTGGTTGTATTTTAGATGTCTCACTGGTTGCTGATTTCACGATTTACGGTATACCTAGTACTGCATAATACCACATACCACTTCCAGCTTCAACTCATCGAAATCTAAAATTGTACTTAATTTTAACTAAAGTGGTAAAGTTTCGAGTTTATGTTGTGCGTTCTATTTGCATTTGGTTTATGTACCCCCCCAAATTTGTATTGTTTGTTACACCTTACTGTCTTTTATATAAAATAGTCACATTTCTGTGTTGCCTAGGCGTAATTTCGTGTCACATAATAGTAGTTACTGATTGTGTTTGTTTGTATGTAGCTATGTACTCATTTGCTTTATGTACTCGTAGTTTGTTCAGTATCTTGTGCATTTTTCCCCAATTTCGCACAAAACATTTCTTCAGTTCAAATAAATATACAAGGTTTCTTCAAATATATTGAATCTCAATAGACAAGAATGAGCAGATTTACTGAAATTATTTTTTCAGAGTTGATCCACAGTCCGTTGAGCTGACAAAAGCTAAAATGCAACCTTGGGATGGTACGAATAAAACCGAAGATGAGAAATTGACGGCGTGGATGGTTGCCGAAAATGGTAGGTCCGTCCAAAAACGAAATTAATATAATTAAACAAGAATTAAAAAAAAAAAAAAAACTATTCAAATTGTATTGCAATTGACTATATGCTAAGGCAAATATTGAAATCTAGCAAACTATTAGCAATATTCAAAAAATAATTTCATTTATTATATTACTGGTTAGGTTTTGAAGGACTGTGCCGATTCTTCAAAATATTATTATAACCCCATTGCAAATGAATACACATAAGTGTGAATAGTCCGCATAAACCACATATCATTTTCCAAAAATGGATGGTAATGGGCGGCATATTGTCTAATACTTTAGCCGCGTCGGTCAATATAGTCCAAAACCACCGATGCACTGTGTTTTGGAAAAAATTTGATGTCTAGAGTCTGGGTCCCAATTGGAGCCGCATACAATATCGCCGCCTGAAACGCTCGCCTCTATTTGCCATCATTCTTCATAAGGCGTTATATATTTTATTTGCTTTTCCTGGCGTTTAAGATAGCTGCTCCTTCAATTTAGGTCACGAGTCTAATATTACGTCCAGTTGTGGCTGTAATATCGCAATTCCACATGCTGAACACTATTTGTTCTTCCACCTTCCTAGTGCTTATGATCAAAACTTCTGTGTTCTGTCAGTACCATAATTTATGTACTCATTACTTTTGTTTTTTTAGGTCATCTACTTAGTTGTATAGCCACTGATACCCCTATAAGATCGTCTGCATATTATTTAGGAGCAAGAGAGCAAGTATGCCACTTCCAATTATATATTACTTTGAGTAAGCATTAAAAACTTCTAAGGCTCTATATTTACCGGTGAATATTAGAACTTACGAATAATAGAGTAATGGAGTAACGCCTAATATATATTATATATAATATATAATATATAATATATAATATATAATATATTTTATAATTATATATAATATGTACATTAAAATAGCCATATGGTTTCCCCCAAACCCACACATACATATGATGACCTTTCACGATGTTTCAACGGTATGTAACTGTAGTATCAAAGAATCGGAAAGATATGGAACGTGTCTGTTTTGAACATAGGAGAATTCACTCACTTTCAAGTTTTTGTAAACGACTTAATATTCAATTTTGATACTTCATCTAGTACCCTGAACTGCTTCTAGATATCTAAGATGAGTTCTAGATAAAGCTGCACAGAAGCATAGGAGGTATAACAGCGTCATCTCATGCCTACTTCCCTGAACTGTCAGCATGTCTCGTTGTTACAACTGCCCATCCCACTCGTATATGATGTCAGTAAGTTGTGACCGGTCATTAGGCCAACAACTTTCCTGAATTCCTTTTGAAACCGTGCGAGTAAAAAGCATGGGTGTTTTTCTTTGGAACTCACGTACATAATCTTGGCGATCCTGCACGTCCTTAAGGCATTCTATTTCACCCTGTTTGGGATTTTCTTGGAATTCCTTTGTGGCCTTGAACGCTGACAAGTCGCATGCTCCTGCACCATCTACTCTACTTTAGTATGACTTAAAAAGAAAAATTAAGGTTATTTTATCCACTAACTCCCTGCTTATCGAGCCATGCTCGAAGGCTCTTGAGAATTTACCTAACGCCGTAACTCTTTCAGCTGATTTTACTGCAGAGCTTTCCACTGCAATCTCGATTGGTGGTAGGTTGAAAAACCGTTCTAGTGCAGCCGTTAGAGTGGTTCTTAATGGTTTTCGGTATGAGATTTTGCTGACATCGGCCCACCACAGTAAAGCTAGATTAGCTTGTGTAACGCCAATGCATGAGACTAGGTGATATTCCTATTATAGACCCAAGAATCTTTCTTATTGGCCTTTTTCACTCGCTCTTACTCATTGAGTTTTCTTCACTTTACTATCCAAAATTACTCCCAGGTACTTGGAATTCTTCCTAATTGTTAACTCAATCCCATTGAACCTCGGGGGTTTACATGAAGGGATATTGTACACCCAGGCCACCAGATGCCCAATATAAATACCGCTGTGGGTGTGTGGTGGGTCGTTCGAATAGCACTATGCTATTCGATAGAAATTAATGATGAACAAATTTAATAAATGTTATGATTTACTCTAGTTACGTTGACTACAATAGATATTTCGGACAATGAAACTCGGTTAGAACATGATCTATGATATAAACAAATACGATAACTTTTTTAGATAACATACTGAGTAGAGAAGAATAGACCGATTGTGCTGTTATCATCCAAAAGCGTATTCTATTTATTCACCGATGGATCCAAAGGGTGAAACATGATCAGAGGCCGGCTTCTTCTATAGCAATCCATACACAAAAGGCATTTTCAATTAAATACGATTCAGTCTTTCAAGCGGAAATTGTTGGAATACCAGCAGTCGCAAAGTGGGCTTCTCCTCTAACCAGAAAGTCCATAACTTTTCTATTGGATAGCCAAAAGTCAAAAACGGCTATTCGCAGCCTTCTCATACTGACAAAGAGTGTGATCACAAAAAAAAAATATATATACATATATACAGATTACCAAGCGGCTTTGAAATCACTAAAGTCACTTAGGGTTTTATCAAAGATAGTGAAAGAATGCCTTGATCTCTCAGTGGATCTAACATTATATTTCACGATAAACTTGCAATGGGTTCCACGACTGTGAAGCAGATGAACTAGCCAGAGCAGGCACTACCTTAGAATTATACTACAAAAAAGAGAGAATCTACTTGTAGATATTTAATTGAAAAACATGTCATAGATACAGCTGAGTCTCGGTGCAGTCAAGGCACACTTGCTCAACAAGCAGGCAAACGTGACATGAATCGAATAAGGGCCACAGATGCCGACTATTAAAATTTAAACTAAATGACATAAGAACTCTAGTAGGAGTACTTATAAGTCACTGTTTAATTGGCAGACATGCTGACTGGGAGGAGCTAGAAGAGAAGACTATAAAACATCTTCTATGCGAATACAAGACTTTGTAAAGCAAAAGAATCGCAACTGGCGGTTGAGATTTTCTTGACGATGTTTCGGAGGTTGCACTAATAAAACTTTTTGTATTGATGAACTTCATCAGAGCACAGATTGGTTCAGAAAAGATATATTAGAATGAGGGGATTTTAGTCTCGGCTTCCTAAAGGCCTAGATGCGTCGGCAGACATCCACTGTACCTACCTGCCTTCCCTTGACCATTCAAGGGTTGCAATGGACTCTAGAGGAATACCTCAAGGTTTAGAACACTAGCAACACAGAACAGACCCAAAAGCTTTTACTTTAAAGGGAGCTAATGTCATCATCCCACCTTCAGAAACTTAGTAAAGTAAAATCGACAGAATGCGAGCATGCGTGGAGGATGATGAGAATACCCATCCTTCAGTTAGTCGAAATTGGATATCTTCCATGATTCCCAATGTTCCAACAATGTTAGTATGGAAAAAACCGACATTTTGTTAAATCCTGAGTTGCAGAACAGAGCTTAATTGGTTACAATTTGGTAGTATAATGAGCCTACTGATGGCTTAAGACTGATCGCCTGCGGTTAGACGCTCCTTCGCCTCCCTTTTCAACCAACCTACTTACTGAACTCATTATCAACATGGAATATGGTTTTGCTAATGCTTTTAAATATTTCACGGGGCTCTAATTCTTAAAAATAGCGAGAGTCTAACATCGGTTCGGTTTCGTCCGAACACAGTCTACTTTCAATATTGGTGTTATAGTAAATAAAAAGTATATATAAACTTTAAATATTATATAATAATTTAAATATGTGTTTTTCTTCTGCTTTTAGGCTCTTTGCTTGAGAAGAAAATTCTAAATGGACTTAGCGATAAAAATAGTTCCGAATGGAATACAGCGTACCTTAATTATTAGGCATAAACAACTTACTTTTTATGTAATAATATATGTATAATCTTAAAAAGTGGAAGGAAGCAAACAACGCAGTGGGTACAAAGTGGTGAAATTTGTATGAACTGAATTGTCATACAAAAGTTTGTGCTGTGATAAACTAAATGAACATTCTAAAATTCAATTAACAAAATAATACTTCATAAATTGCATTACCACATAACACAAAGGCACATAAATAAGTATTTTTTATAAATACATAATCAACAACAAATGTGTGTGAGACACTATTTAAATATAAAATAAATTGTACAATACTAAATAAACTAAATACTAGCTTTACATTTGTATTAACTTACACAAAAATCGCGTAATTCATAAAAAAACAACTGTTAATGCAAATGAATTACTGTACGCAAAAAACAATTACAATAATTATATATATGAATGTATTTGTAAATGTGTACTTAATTTTATTTTAAAAACTGTAAAATAATAAAAAAATACATCAAAACTGTACAACAATACACGCGTGTCCGACTTCTAGTTTATTTAACGAACATATGTAAGTTGAAAGTAGAGCAATGCACCGCTGGCAAGAAAGGCTCAAAAACTAATAGATGTATAATTTCCTAATTCACATTTTTATTATCATTTTATTGCATGTCGCAGTCGCTGCGTAGAAATTTGATATTATTAAGCCAATTCAACAGTTTTACTTTGACTTTTAAAACCAAATTCAAACGACAATTGTTGTGTGTACTTGTTAAACCAGCTGATTACCAAGTGACCAATAGAGTCGCCGCAGCGCAGCTAACTCTTGACAGTTACCAGCTGACTGACTTTCGGATTGTCAACGAATTTGATATCCCTCGACGATACTGCGCTGTGTGGCATTTCCTTACAGTCTGTATGTGTTTATGCATGCCATATTTTCTTACGGTATACTGCAATACGCACAACAACAATAACATGAGTTATATACATATGTATATTTGGTTATATGTATATTAGTAGACAGTGTTACAGATAATTTTGTTCGTAAAATTACATAATTAGAAAATGTATATACTAACATATGTGCATATACAGCGGTGGCGTTTAGAACATGCACACTCAAAAGTTATGCTTCTAGTCTAGTCTAGATCTCTATTTTATTTAAAGGGTGTTTTTTAGACAATTTTCAAGAAGAAATAAAACGCACATATTTTACTGTTATAAACAAAAACTTATAAAGATAAGGGTTTGCCATGATCTTTTGAAAATTATTTCGGGGAAGTGACAGCCGCGGCTGGTTCTATTAAATATCAGCCGAGAGAATCAAATTTCTACCACTTTTTGAAGCAATTGAGGACGTATGAGTATGTCAGCAATAACAGGCCGAATATACTCTTCTATGGCGTCAATCGTCTTGGGTTTATTTGCGCAGACGTAAATTGATTGTTTCGTTGGCTGTATGGCATACAGTGCCAATTTGTTGTCCATAGAGCACATCCAATAGTGACGTTTTGATAATATAACGGCGTCTCAAAAATGGCTTATGGATTATCATTACAACAAATGTGACAATTTTGTTTATCCACGTACCCCGTCAACCCAATTTTTGCAGAAGTTAGATTTTGTAGGCCCGAAAATCAAATCCTTCTACAAAATCTTCCGTGAACAACTGGGGCACAGCTCGGTTTCCTGAGCTAATACAATATCTCTCCTATTACCCAAAGTTGGCCGCTTCTGAGCGATTGCTTCCTACCGACTGTATGTAAGCAGTTTATAGTAGAAGATCCCCTGCCAATACCACCAAACATATAGCAAAATCTTCCTGACTGTCAAGTCTGGCTTTCGCTTGACGTGATTGTAAGCTGGAAACTAAAACATGTGTAATAATAATATAGAGCAGCAATTTTGTGCTGTGTTCCATAGGAAATTTTTATACTCTCGCAACATGTTGCTACAGAGTATAATAGTTTTTTCAATTATTTTTAACTTCAAGAAAGTAAAGCATGACAAAGGGCCGTAGTCATATTTCAATTCTCACTACTGTAAGTAAGGGAACGCCGAAAAACATTTTACTACAAATTTAACATTTATTTGCCTTTTTATTTTTTTATATTTGATATTAAATTTTTATTTTAATTTTCGCCATATTACCAAATCAAAAAGCACTACAGGAGAACCGACCGGCTGGATCCGGTGACAATTACGCGACAGCGCGTTGAATGCAGCTCAATAGGACAGCAACAACAATGCGTGGTACAACACAAAGGGCGACCAACGGTTATGCTACCAGTGTTAGGCGGAAGATGTCTTCAATATGCGCATGCGTATCATATTCATATGGCCGACTTCGTTCAACAAATGAGTATAAAAGCCACATCAACTTGGACAGACAGCATTAAACATAGCTAGACAATTGAAGTAGCAGGAGCAGAAGTACTCAAGCCACAGTGATTAATTATACAAAAGAAAATACGCAAACGAAATGAAAGCCTTCGTAAGTAAAAACCTCCTTAATAAAAAAATCTTATATCTAACAACGATTCTTTTCCCAACTTTGCAGTTCGCACTCACTCTGCTCGCCGTCACCTACTTCGCCAGCACCAGCGCAGGCCTCATTGGACATGGTATTCCTATTCCCATCGAATTGGAGGAAAACAGCCCACCACAGTATGAATTCCATTATTCCGTGCATGACACTCATACCGGCGATGTTAAGGATCAGTTCGAGCATCGTCATGGCGATTATGTAACCGGCCGTTACTCACTCATTGAACCCGATGGCCAGCGTCGTGTTGTGGAATATAATGCCGATCCCTTGTTGGGCTTCACTGCCCAAGTGCATCGGGAAGTGCCAGTTATACGTCAGCTGCCCTTACATCGTCATTAAAATTTGCCAGCAGAAAAAGTAGTAGTGACATATATAACTACATATGTACATATTCTTACAACTATATACATATTATTTATGTCGACAGTTCTGTAACGCATCTGCATTGAACCGAATACACATACACTTACACACGCATGTACATACATACATATTGAACCATATAGCAGAATTTTACACAGTTGTCCAGATAACATGTTGGGCAAAAACTAGCAGAGTATTGCAGGCATGTAATGTGGACGATCCTTTATATACATACTCTTATAATAAAATACATACATATTCCATATAAGAGCTTTGATCTACACTTTGAACTCATTGCTACACATACCAATACACAAACATTCAAAAATAAATGAAATTATTTATGCAAATTGAGTTGTTATTAATAAAAATCCTCGAAGTTTCGGGAACGTATTCAAAGAGCGGCCCTCATTGCAATTTGTGGTACACTAAGGACAGCACCAACAAAATCTCTCAATGCCATAGCTGTGGACATATCTGTCAGATGTATTGCGCCGAAGACTGCTATTAGACTCAGGGAAGGTGCATGGGAGATCTCAAGCAGGGACATTCTGAAATCCCCCGCTTTTTTAAACCACTGCAGTGTCTTTCAAGCAAAGGTGACTGTCATTAAGGTGGCAGTAGATGTACTGCTCCACAGTGCAGAGGTGGTAATTCTCTTCTATAGCAAAGCAGCAATACTGGTTTTGAGATCTCTGACAGTGCGTTCAAGATTAGTCAAAAAGTGTTTGACCTCTTTATCATTAACGTCAAGCTACTTTGTCATTTGACTTGTTTGGACGCTGGTCACTATAGAATCGCTGGAAACTACAAAGCTAATGGGCTTGCGGCTGCGAGATCTTTCTGGCTTGCATTTACGGAGTTCAAGTTCTTCAAGTGTTGCTTATGTGATAATAATGTTTTTCGGCAGTCATCACTCCTATTTTCCATATTTTGTTCGTATTTATTTTAACGCTTCCAAAGAAAAAGTCACATTTTTATGAAATACTATTCTACATTTCTGCACGAGTATATACCCTTCTGAAGAGACACTGCATTCCTAAGGTAAGCTTTACTTTTAAGGTGTCTCCAGTAAAATATGAGTTCGTAACATCCATAAGGAAACGTCGGAGAAAATATAATATATTTGTATATAAATGATTTAAGTCGATTTAGTCATCTCCGTTTGTCTGTATATATACGATCTAGTCACTCAGTTTTTGAGATATCGATCTAAAATTTAGAACACGACCGTTTCTTACCAAGAAGTGGTGGATCTTTGGGGTAAACCATTCATATTTTGTAGATAGAGGTCAAAAAGTTCTGGCATACTCGTATTAGTACCTTTGTAGCTACCGATTAATGTAAATATATTTTAAATCTTCCCTGTATTGCGTATTATCTTATTTTGATCGACTGCATATCCCGAACTTATCGCCGTTACCCTCAGTAAATTTGTACCAGCCAGTTTGTAGTTAAAAGTAAAATGTTTATGTTTCCTAATCAATTAACTTTTTGAACTTGGTTGTACCTCTCATTTTGTTTTTATATTTATGTAGTATATTATATTTTGCTTTTTTATAAGTTTAACAACTGGAACAATTTTCTCTGTTTACGTCTGTTTATTTCTGTTTTAGTTATCAAAAAAAGACACAGTAAAGCAAAGCTGGATGTTAAAGCGATTAGGTAATGTTTATTCTTGTTTTTTTTTTTGGCAATTTTTTCGTTAGCGACCTCTACGCAATGACGTGCAAATAGGTCAAAACTTTTGGGTCTGACAACGACGAGGTTCATAGATAAAACACCTACAAAAAGTGTGTTTACTCGATCCATATAAGATGCTGAGGAGCTGAGACCTACTGTCAAAACACTTTTTATTGAGAACCATTTTCTATAGTTTTGCCGTGGACGAGATATATCAACTAAATCGATGATTTTACCACCCTCACTGAGTGTTTTCTGACACCCAAGTACTTAAGTTCTCGACAAAGTATACATTACTATCTTTCGTGGTAAACTAATAGCCGTAAAATTCAACGTTCCACAATACAAAAATGTCAAAAAGTCTTTATCAACATGAGAAATTATGAAGTTCTAGTAAAAAGAAATCCATTCTTTATGCATTGAATTAACGATTTTATTTAGTATAGTTACAATGATCTAACTTAGTCGATTTTCACAAGCTTCTCTTGAGGAAAATTGTTCATCACCAAAATCATTCGCCACAATAGAAACATAGAGTAATCGCTTGGTGCAAAGTCCGGACTATATGGTGAATGTATAAGAATCTCCGAGACAAGCTCTGGAAGCTTCTGATGATTCACTATTAATGTGTGTGACCTACTGTTGGTAATTAATTGGTGCAAGGTTCGGACTATATAGTGAATCCATAAGAATCTACGAGACAAGCTTTGGAAGTTTCTGATGAGTCACTATTAATGTGTGTGACCTACTGTTGTCCTGATGGAATTAATTTCTCTCACCGCGAATCAACTGAAATCACTTTTGATTGATGGTGTTATAAGTGGCTCACTTTTCATCATCTGTAGCCATCCTTCAGAAATCGATTAATTTCGTTGCGACTCAGTAGCGATATAATATATCGAATATTCAGTCCTTGAGGTTTTTTTGCGTTAATTTGTGTGGCTCCCACACGTCAAGCTTGGTACACTTACTTTTGAGACTGATTTGCTTATCAAGCCAAATCAAGTGCTTCAGGAACTTTAGACGTTTAGAAAAAATGTCAAGAAACTTTGACGGAAGGTTAGTACTCTAAGAAAAGAAAACAGATCTCTGTTAAGCCAAAGTTTTTTCAGCCCATGTAGCCTCTCTAAACCCTCTCGGAAATTAAACAAATTATTGTTATAATCGCATTCCAGTTTTATTTCAAAATGCATAAAGTGCTTTCTATACAGCAAATTGCAAATAATTTTATGTGTAAACATATTTATAACAAATTAACATACAATGGCTTTACAGTTAAGTGAGATATTCATGTGTTATGGCAATTTAAACTGTGTTGTGTTTCATAAATGAAAAATGAAATGAAAGAAAACGCAAAAAGGAAACCATGCCGATGATGCTGCGGCACCAGTAACCCAATATATCGCAGAAACAGGAGCGCAATCGGACGATTTTTAAGGCGTGATATCGAACGAAAAAAAATCAAAAACTGTGTTATATATGAATGTAAGAGTAGAACATATTGAGCCTAAACATTAGTGATGACCAGAAGGCCTTACCTGGTATGCCTTAGTGTACCTACAGGAGTGGCTAATGATTACTTGAACTGTTGCAGCTGTGGTGTTTTCAAATAAAAAAGTATTTAAATTAAAATTGCATGTGTATTTGTATGTTGTGTTTCGTGGTTGACGCGTGAGTACTCAAAATGTAGTGAACTTAAAAAATCTATATATTACGTATATATGTATATAATATATGTTTAAATGTAAACTACCCGTAGAATCGATTTGCATTGCTTAATGATTTGGTTGTGTGACAATGTGTTGATTTAACCGTTCGTTCAACCAACTACCCTGCTATTCGTTCGAAATCGCTTCATTGCCCCCTATGCTCAGTACTTGCCGGACAAACCGAAGGAGAGCAACGGTACTTTGGCTACCGGTGCAATTGCCTTAACCACCTTCTGACCGAGTGGTTCACGACGCACTAACGCATTGAAGCCATTGTGGGCATCGGATGTATAGTCAACGGTGCGTAGATAGCCATCAGCATCGACTAATGAATATTGTCCTTGCACCACATCGCCCTTACGGGATTCCGTTTGGCTCTTAATGTCACCGGTGTGATCATCGCGCACCGAATAGGAGAAATCATAATGAGCTGGTGCCTCGACTTCGACGGTCTTGACTAGCGCCGGCTTGAGCAACAGTGGTGCATGTCCCAATTCAATGGCGGTGGTAGCTCCCAAACCGATGATGAATAGACCAAATAACTGTAAAAGGATATGTATACATTAGGCTTATTAAGTGATTCAATAATATTGATTTACACGTGATACGCACAGTGAACATTTTGTTTGCGTGTTTTCGAAGGATTTCACTTTCAAGTTAAATTGACCGTACACTGACTTTTTGGTGCTACTGTACTGTAGAATTTTGATTTGTACTCGTGGAACTCCTGTGCTGTACTATGATTCTGATCAATTAACCGCCAACTTTTATATTGTGTGACCGCTAATGTCCGTTAGCTTGGAAATTTTTGCCGCAGCAGTTGCAGTGAGTGCAATAGTGGTGGGACAAGTGTTCGTTTGGGTCGCAGAACAACATATGCAAATACCTACTATTTGGCTATATGTGTCTTAAAAATCACCACCCAACGCCTTACCGTCAAAAATATCGCTCTCATATCTTATTTAGCATTTACAGTTTGACAAAAATAAATCCCACTTGTTGCTCATTTTAAGATTTTCTTTACAGCCCATTTCAAATATTTTTTTTACTTTAACTTCAAGACACACTTTTCGGTATCTTTTCAATATACTCTTAGTAGATTTAGCAAAAATCTTGTTTTGTTTATCGATACACATGGCTATTCGTTTATCTCTCGTCTAGGTACCGATATTTTTTCGGCATTTTTTCATAACGTTTGGCGCATGTCGCTGCAGCGATCTATTTTGCATTGCTTTTTTTTACCTGGTGGTGCTACGTATAGTACTTTTGTACTGGTCAGCATAATATTATGAGACTAAACAATTTTTTTTAACAACATACTTAGTATTGCCATAAATTCAGTTACAAAGTTTACAATGCATACAGCGAGGACACCCTGAATAAAGTATTTTAAGTTTGCCACGATGTTTGATCAGCGTGACGAGTTGAGTCGATTTAGCCATGACCGTCTGAACTGCTCATTTGTCGGAAACACCGTCGGAACCACTGCCATACAAACTGAACGATCACAATCAAGTCCTTATATGGGACCAACATTTCCTTTCGAGTGTTAGAAACAAGGCAAACTTCAAGGTATAAAGATTAAATAGTTGTTTAATAGTAAAAGTTTCTGTCTAAAATAAAATGCGGGTGGCTAACGGTTACGTAATTTCGACTGTTCTGTAACATTCTGGTTTGATGTGCGTTGGTTTGGATAATTAGGTCAAAGCTTGAATTTTTTGAGATGGGAAGACAGGCGAAATGTGTCCAAGCAATGACATTTAATACGGTTGTATGTTCATTAAACATTACCTGGAAAATACTATGTAAAAACACAAATGAGTTGAAACAAAATGTGTTCTTTGTCTCTTCTGCTTGTTTTCATTAAGCACTTTTCTAGATTTATTACACTCTGGTTAAAGGTACTAATAACGAAAAATTTTGGTAAAAATAAGAGCTGTCGTATCGAATCAGAACTATACGTTGCATCATAACCTGTTTGAGAAACCACTTGTACAGACAAACTTATTTAGGAACTCTTTGAGACATTCTGAAAATAAAGTTAACTAAAAACTAAACATGCAGAAGTGAAATCAATTTGTTGACCAGTTTTGCCTATGCGTTGGAAATTTAAATCTTACTTGCTCCAATTTCAACATGAAACGCTTGTTTGGCGGTGCCAATTCTGCGTAGAAGCTGACGAAACTTGTCTCCAAATACTCTTACGCATTTGCATGTGAGTATATACGTGTGTAGATTAGGATGGGGCAAAAAAGGAATTTTTTTTTTTCGTTCCGTCCTCTGAAAAGTTGGTTGATAGACACCTCTAAGAAAGGTTCTCTAAGTATGAGCCCTTAATTGTAACGGAAGGTTCTTCGCCTAACGGTTTTATATTTTTTGTTATTTTCATATAAAATTCATTACCTATTATTTTAGGGATATGAGGTTTAGACCAAAGTAAAGACCAATTCCATTGTAATTCGGTGCTAAACCACATAATTTTTAAAAACTTGGCGATAGAGAAAGTTACGGGCTGATTATCCGATTTTATAAATTTTCGCCAATACCACATATTACTAACATTCCACAGACTAAAAAAATGCTGGCAGGGTTTCATTAGGGTACCTCACATACCATCACCAATCATACAAGTATGAAGTAAATTAAACCGGATGTTCAAAAATCATGATATTAGTTATATGGAGGCTCGATATAAAGGGGCTAATGGAAATATTGACCCGATGCAGCCCTTTTTTGACATACTCACGCTCCGGAAAGCATTCACTCTGAATTCCAATTATATGTCTCACACATTGGCCAATATTTTCGGTAAAAAGTCAACTATATGTACTGGGGTCCACACATCCGGTACCTAGGCACTTGAACAGTTTCAGTTCGATTAGGACAATTTTTGGTCATAAGGTAGTATGATCTAAGTGCATTATTTGTGTAAAGTGAGCGAATCAGATGGAATTTAAAATTTTAATATGCGAGAAGTAGGCGTGGTTGTAGTCTGATTCTCACTGTGACTTGGGAATGTCAGAAGAATGTTACATATCGAAATCGGTCAAGCAGGACCCGTGATATGGGGTTTCTCCCAAAGGTGGGCGGTGCCACGCCCCTTGTCCACTTTTCGTCTCTGACTAGTTTATTTAATGAGTTATCGCATTTTTAGTAGTTTTAATCAAAACCGTTATATGAGGAGTGAGCGGGTTTATCCCCCGATTTCACTCATTTTCACATTGTCGATAGGGTATGAGTGAATTTAGTTATTATAGCTTTAGCGGTTTAGAAGACTGCACCCACTTTAAAAACAATTTTAAACCGAAGATGCCCCTCCCTAATGTGTTTCGTTATACCAAATAACAGTTTTGTATCTTATTGTGGATCCTAAATATGGCTAGTTATTGGTTTTCGATTAATGCCGTTTTGTGGGCGTGTCAGTGGTCTTATTACGCCCATCTACAACACCAACTGTCTTACGGTGACAAGAAACCAAATTACATGAAGATTATCTCAATTTTTACTCAATTTATAGCATGCAAAGACGGACGGACAGACCGTCACCCTTATTTCAACTCGTCTCTTCATCCGGATCATTTATCAATATATATATTATATAATACTATAACTAACTCGATTAGTTTTAGGTGATACAAACATCCGTTAGGTGAAATTGCAAGAGTATAAAAAAACAACCAAAAACAAAAGAAAACAGATCATTTTTGTAGAGCAGTAAATTTCCGATAAGACTATAATGTGATGTGTGTAAATTGATTTATAGATTTGAAAAAAATAGATAAAATTGCCTTAAAATAATTAAACTTCAACCGTTAATATCTTTTAAATGGTTGAGTTTACGAAAAATCTATGAAATGAGATATTTTTTCAAGTAGTTGGAAGAGAGATATGAATTTTTCTACCTGATAATAAGAAAAAAAATAGAAAACCGTTAGGCGAAGGAACTTCCAGTTACAATTAAAATATTATATTATACTTAGAGAGCCTTTCTTAGAGGTGACTACGAGCTTCAGATTGCGAAGCATAAAAAAAGATTCGTTTTTTTTACCCACCCTAGTGTATGCCACATATGTATATATGTATATGGGCGTGTTTATTTGTAGCAGAAAACATGCAGTTATTTGCATATTTACTTGCACGATTTTGCTAATGAAGTTCGGAAATGAGAGATATACTGATAAGGATAAACATCGACGCAAGATTTCAACACACAATAAAAATTACAGATTTTTGCTAACAGAATGCTAATTTTGACAGAAACACACAAATCAACGATAACTAACATGTGTTGTATAATTTTTACATGAATACTTTTGAATTTTGCATATGACACAGCGCCAAAAATGCTGTGAGTATTCAATTTTGTATATGTAACTCATTTCTCAATAAAACCATTTTAACTACAAAAAGTAATTCCAGCTTTATGAAATGCAAATAATAAAATAATGTTTCCACATAGGCCCCCACAGGCCTACGATGCGTGATAATGCGTTCACCAAAAGTTTCTTTCAATACATAAATTTATTGTTTCGTTGGCTGTATGGCATGTAGCGTTATCTTGTTGCAATCAAAGTTCGTCCACATCAACATCCTCCAATTCAGGTACGTTTGGGGGTGTATGTGCGCACTGTACGGCATCACTGACGATGTGTATTATATAATAATAAACGTTTTCTCGTCATAAGTCTATTCATTATGAAATGGCAAAGCAAAGTTAGTATATATCTAGTAACAGCCGTGAAAAAATCAACTTCGAAAAGAGTAGTTTCATTTAAGACCACATGTCTAAAAAACACCCGTTAAGGTCAAGTAAAAGGAAATTTATTATTTTTTCATTAGATTAAATTAAATTCATTAATGAATTCCGATTCACTGGTTGACGTTCCATATCAACCCTATATATTTAATTATCGCTGAGACGAAGTAAAATGTAGCAATAAACAAGATAAAATGTAAACTTCGGTTGCACCGAAGCTATAATACCCTTCACAAAAACCTAGGTTCCTAACAAAAGCTTGATTCCGTTCTAATTTCGTAAAGATACCTCGTCAAATAAAAAGTTTTCCATGCAAGCACTTTACTCCGATAGTTAATAAGGCAGCAATTTCTTCGGATATTACATTGTTGCCTTAGGAAATAACTCATGCCAAATTTCGTGAAGATACTAAGTCAAATAAAAAAGTTTCCCACACAAGCAGTTGATTCCAATAGTTCAGTTCTTAAGGCAGCTATATGCTATAGTGGTCCGATATAGGCCGTTCTGACAAATGAGCAGCTTCTTAGTGAGAAAACACAGGTGTAAAATTTCAGATCGATGGCCTAAAAACTGAGGGACCAGTTTGTACATATACTGACAGACGGACGGACAGACAGACGGACATGTCTAAATCAACTCAGCTCATCATGCTGATCATTTATGTATTTACAGGGTCTCCGACGTTTCATTCTGGGTGTTACAAACTTCGTAGCAAACTTAATATACCCTGTTCAGGGTATAAAAAACTAAGTGAATTTATGACCTATAATAAATTTCATAAAATGCCAAATTTGATTGGAATCCATTCACTATTTCGTCGAAAAATAAATGTTGAATTCTTTCGCAACATTTTTATACTCTTGCAATATTGTAGCAACATGTTTAGTATAATAGTTTTATTCTCCTAACGGTTGTATGTAATGATATAGAATTTTATATATATAATATAAATTATCAGGATGACGAGACGAGTTGAAATCCGGATGTCTGTCTGACCGTCCGTCTATCTGTATGGCTGTATCTTAAGTAAAAATCAAAATATCATCATGAAACTTAATACACGTCTTCCTTGGCAAAATGTGGAGGACGAGTTCGTAGATGGGCATAATCTAACCACTGCCATGCCCATAAGACACCATTAAACGAATACTTATAAAGTGCCATAACTAAGCGCTAAATTACGATAAAGAACTGTAATTTGGCACAGGGGATCGCAGTAGCAAGTTTGAAAAAATGGGTCTGGCCCCGCCCTCTAAGAGGTTTAATGTACATACATACAAACAATTCAAGCTGAAATAACCAAATTCGCTTACAACTAATCCCTTAGGCACCGCTACCGACACTGTAAAAATCGATGAAATCGAATGATAATCCCGCCCACTACCCATATAACGGTACTGTTAAAAACTACTAAAAAGCACTATAAATCAATATATATTGTACTATAAACTAACATAAATGACAGAGGTATTAAATTTTACATCCGAGACGGTATGGACGATGGGCGTGGCACCGCTCACTTTTAGATGATATCACATTTTTCGGAACCAGCTCGACTGATGTCAACCAAATTCGGTAAATAAAATTCTTTTTCCATTCCTATGTTACAATGAAAAAATGGTGAAAATTAGACTACAACCATGTCTACTTCCCATAAAACACAATTTTGAATTCCATCTGATTCCTTTACTTTCCAATATAGAAATCAAGAAGCAATTAATATAACGAGACAAAACTTTGCACGAATATTTTCTTCTAAGTATGCCAACTTATGACCAAAAATTGTCCAAATAAAACCAAAATTGTTCTTGTCCCTAGGTACCGAATATGTGGACCCTATAGTTGACTTTCGAATGAAAACATCGATCAATATGTGAGATATATATAAATGAAATTCAGAGAGGATCCAGAGGATTTTCTGATAATAGTATGTCTTTATGTAAAAAAAGAGTTGATTTCAGCCAAGATTTCTTCAATGGGTAGCTTCTTATCTTTATAATAGAACACAATGAGTGATATTTAAGGATATTCTTTCAGATTCAGTTAATGTTTCTTCAGGTGTTCCGCAAGGTTTTGGCAAGGTCTTGGGCCGATCCTGTTCTTGCTGTCTTTTCTGTAATAGAATTCTCAAAAACTTTATTATAGGCTGACGACGTAAAGCTTTTTAAATCATACACTTCAACTGATGAAAGGTGTCTGTTGCAAACAGACTTAAACAATTTGGTTGCTTGGTGTGATAGAAATGGTTTGTCACTGAATCTCAAAAAATGTAATACGATGTGCTTTTTCCGTAGATCTGTGCACCCCTCTCCTTATGTAATAAAAAAACAATAGTCTAGAGCAAGTTTTTAACTTTGTTGATTTGGGAGTTACTATGGACCCTAAGCTTAATTTTAGTCTTCATATTGATACCACGGTCTTAAAGGAAAAAGGTGTCCTAAACGTTTGTCTAACAAATTTTGAGATTCGTATATTACTAAAATTCTCTACTGGAAGGTGTTCTGGGTTCTCCGGATCCATGTCACAGAACCGGCAGTTTGCACAAGAGGTTAATCCCATGTCATATAGATGCTTCTTGAGCCTGCAATGGCCAGTGTAGAACGCGACAAGTAGCCAGAATTTATTTCTCGGGAGATTGGTTACATTTTTAAACCTTCTGAGGTCATAGCCCCCTATTAGCAACATGGCGCATGCCTTGCAGTTGTTGCTTGAACCCTAGCTACTAAGTTCATTCTGACATGTTAGAGTCTATTCAAAAACCTTTTTTCGCCTTAGGATTTCCGATGGGATTATAGGTTAAGTCTACCATCATACACTAGTCGTTTAAAACGTATAAATCTCCCTACACTTACTGATATTAGGGAAATGCTTGACATTATAGTCTTAGTGAAGATCTTGAATGGAACAGTTTGCAGTTCTTTTATCCTGTTTATAATTAAATTTAATATCTCGGTTCGCTTTTCGAGGCAGTTTAGACCTTTGCTGTTAATATCTTGTAGATCAAATGACTCACTTTTTAAAATTAAACAGACTATATTTCTTTCTCCTAATAAATAGAATCGTAACAATTTATTATATCCTAACTATAAATCTTAGCTGTTAAAGTTTTCGTTTTTGTAGCTGAGCAGTTTTAGATCTCAAGGCTTGAAAAACTCTCTTGCCTTTTTAACGCCTGGGAGCATTTTATTCATCTATGCGCGTGTTAGTAGTATGTGGTATTGGCAAGAATTGATAAAATCGGGTAATTACTACCCCCAACTCCCATATACTACTTATAATGATTTTCGTTATTCTAACAACTTTTTTGCCGAATATGTCGGTCAGTGAAAATTATTTATGTATAAAATTGTGTTAAAATATGTTCTCGAGTATACCTGAGCAATGTCAAAATTAATGCAATCAGCCAGTCCCTTCCTCTTTCCCGAATATACCGCATAAAATGATTTTCGTCTTCCCACCTGTATTTAAACCGTTCAGGTTGGTATGTGTGATATTTTATTGAAACTATATGGACAAATTTTCTTAAAAATTATGTGGTTTAGCGCTGAATTAGAATATAATTGATCATTACCTTGTTCTAAGCCTCATATCCCTGATATAATATATTCAAATCATCTGGTTGACGTTTTCCACATCAAATCAATACAAGTATATTACATTTAGCCTTTTTGGTTGAGTTAATATCACATACATATATCTCTATTGAAGGTGTTTTTAATATAATTTTAGCTGACGCGAACTGAAATACAGCAATGAAATAAAGTCTAAGTTAATGGCTTTCAATAAAAATCAAGAAGATAGCAAATTTGATGAGATTTGTAACTTATTCACGATTTCATTTTTCGCAATATTTTTTTAATATAAAGTTTCGCCAGCGCCTGAAAGATTTTACTGGGCTTTGATTCCTGCCAAAAATATTTATGCGGCTTTAATCTTTGCTAATTTCGAGAGATTAAAATTTTCGGATGCAGCCAAACTTAGCCCTTTCTTACCTGTTTATAGTTTATCTTTTGATTTGCGCTTCAGCTTAATATTTAGTTACCGTCACTTGACGAAAGTTTGTCTTTCTTTTTTCCAATTTCGTGTCATTTGGCACGTTTTGTATACAAACAGTAATTTGAAAACTTTTGAGTGTTTATGGTTTGCTAACAGACGCATCAGTTGCAAGATGGCCTCAGATATATTAACAGTTATTTTTGTAACCGTATTTTTAATTTGTCGCGCAAACGTAAGTGTAAACGCCGAAAAAGCATTCATACAAGCTGAGTATGAAATCATCAACGATACCTCATCCTTTCCATGGCAGGACTTGCGCAATGAAATACATCAGGGTGATGCCGTCACCTACGAACTGGGCACGCCACAATACCAAATTTTGAACGCCGATGAACCGATAGAAATCATCACACCCGATCAGCCCGGTTACTACGAGAGCCTTAAGCGTTATGAAGCGGCAGCAATGCAGCATGCAGAAGAATTCAGAAATCAGAGTGATTCGACAACAACACTGCCAGAAGACATCGAGAAGGAAACGGTTAGCGAGAAACAAGTAAAACAGATTGCAAATGGGGAGGAGCAAATTCGATTTATTATACGGAATTTGAAAGAAAAAAGCAAAAATCCAAAAATGTATTTAGGTTCACCAAATCAGTACCAACAAGATGGCGCACCAGTTGAAACGAGCAAAAAGAATAACGAAATTAAGACTAAACAATCAGGGGTTACTGAAACACCACTCTGGAACCAACAGTTTAACGACAATTCGGAGGCACAATCGAAAGGAAACGAAGGAGAGCGCGTTGCTTTGTCAAAAAGCGTCGAGAAAACCAAAAAAAACCAAAGTTTCTCTCTTAAATCAAACGTCACGAAAGAATTAGTAAAATCTTTGGAGGAAAGCACGTTTATGCCAAACACAGAAACCATTCATATCAGTAATTCCAGCAACACTGTGTTACCGTCAAAGTTTCTCACAGAGTCGTCACTAACAGAAACTATATCGGCTACGGATATACCACCGGAAACTCCACTCCAATTACCGCCTACGTTACTTAAATATGATACTCCACCCACTGAGGAGACTTCAGCACCTCTAAAGCAAAATCTAAAAGAAATCTATGCGACTGATATGAGCTCGTACGCGCCCGTATATAAAGTTCCACCACACATTAGAGATTTCGAGTATTTGTATCGCTCAGCGTTGGGTATAAGATAGACCAAAAATATTATATATTTACATATCTGAGTACCAAGCATATGAGTATTATTTAATTAATAAATGTATATTTACAAATTTTGAAATATTTTTTTTTATTTAAAACTATAAATATAAATAAAAAATCAATAAATAAATATTTTAGCTTTTATCGTAAAATTAATAATATGGCAACCCAGTCATCACCTATTTTGAATTTTGCATAAAAGTATTAGAGGTACATACAGTATCAATAAATGATCAAGGCACTAGCCATATGGATCGGTAACTCTCTCAGTGAAGACCTTACGTTACATAATACGTTTTTAACAAATGTCTTTATAAAGTGAAAAAAAACAGCATAAGCAATATATTTTTATCTGATTTTTCTTTCTCCCACCTTTGTACCTTTGACTCCGCTAAGTATTGAGAAGTTTTGAACAGATCGAAGAAATCGATAAAAATTCTAGATTAATCCATTGTATTCCAGACAGTTATAGAAGCCCAACAATGGTTGTTTATTATACAAGAGATTCCGCTTCAAATATATTAAACTTTTGTGTGAACTTGGCTATCTTTGCATGTGTGAAAGTCGCTAGGAGGAATTGAAGTTCAAAACTCAGCTTTGTGAAAAATAACCTTTTCCCACGAGGGCCGATTATCGAAAAATAGCAGTAAATCCTTTTAATTTTCTCCTAGAAAATCTCATAAACATCAACAAAGCTCACTGCGTTGGCTTTGAATGGGTAAGAACCCAACAAATAGCTCTCAGACCCAATTTGTCTGAAAACTGGCGTAACGCTGTCTTATGTCACCGCTGCTCTTTCTCATTGTTTTGGACGATGTACTGAACAAGAAGTTAATGTACAAACACGGTTTGCTTAAAACATTCAGGAAAATCTTGAAGATCTGGCTTCCGCGGATGATATTGCTCTCCTGGCAGATTTGCAGAGGAATCTAAATAAGCTTGGGGAGATAAAACCGAATTCATCTCTAGCAACCATGACACCGAGTCTATACAATTCACTGTATACAACGAAGCAATACGGCGCAGCACTCTACTATCTTGGGAGCAATATTACAAAGGAGGTTCTGTTAAAAACATTTCCAACCGCATAAGCAAAGCGCTTTGTGCATTTACACAGTTAAACCTCATCTGGTCCTCTAAATCTATCTGAGTCAGCACTAAACTTCAAGTTTTTAACTCCAGCATCCAGAAAACAGTACTCTTATACAGTTGCAAATCCTAGTCCTTAACAAAAACGTTAATAAGAGAACTGAAGTCTTTTGCAAACTTAAAACTTGAAAGACTCTCATACTTACTGGACTTTAACGCTTTTATTTGGCCCTACCCTTCTCTGGCTTCAACCGGAGTGAAAGGAAATAATATATACTCGTAAATATAATATATAGGGTATATATATTTTCTTTACATGGAAAAACACAAAGGTAAGGTTTGTTCGAGCTTCTATTTGTAATTGACGTAAGCTCTAAAAAAATGAGTCGAGTTGTGAAATTCGAACATTTACTAAAACAGTTTTGCATACTATTGCATAGTCAAAATCTAAGAACCACCCTAATACTACTAACGAAAGTGTAAGCTTAATACATACATATGTTTATATGAAGAAATAATATAGGAAATATCTGAGTTTACTTGGAACTTCGGGAAAAAGTTTTATTATTTTGTAAATATTCATTCGATTACAAGAACAATTTTACTACATTCACCATTTCCCATTTTGTTTGTTTATTCGCTGAACGTGCCCTAGGCAAACATTTTTTGCCCGTTCAACCTTCGCCCATGTATTCGTCAGCTTTGCAAGCGCGTGCTGAGGCGGCGTTAAGCTGAAAACAAAATAATTCGACACCCATACATTGCGCTGCTGCGCTAAAGCCGACCGACTTATAAAACTTAATGCAACAAAATAAGTTTTTTAAGTTCCAATCGAAAATCGCCGACGAATCTGTTGTTAAGTGAGTGCGCCTGTAGAGAAAAGCAAAAAATGCTGTTTAAGGTAAATTTACACTGACTAGGTCGCTGCGACCACCACCCGCTTGACATAAGTGACAAAAGGCCAATAACCGTAGTGACGATTATTTAATAAGACATAACGGCTTTGCCGACGTTGCCAACGCCGTACTGACCCACTTAAGGCAGTCCCATTTGCGGTCAATCACTTACAATAAGTGATCCCGTTTTTTGCTTTCACTTTTGATTTTCGATATTCGATTCGGCACAAGAGTTAATGCTTTCTCTCTCAATTTCAGTTTAATTCTTTCTATTTGTTATTGCTGGCCTGCGCTATACTCGCACCAGCCGCGTCTGCACCCAACTACCACCATTATTGTCCGCACTGCGAAGAGGAAGTGTGGGAGGAAGTGCCGTGTGAAGAGCTTGCCACAACCAAAAGGCCAACTACAACAACTACTGAAAGGCAAAAACCAAAACCTCCCACTTATGCACCCATCACCCAGAAACCACATACAACGGCGCGCCCACCAGTTAAGAAGACCACAACAATAAAACCACGAACAGAGCATTACACAACCCCTACACCGGTGGTCACGACGACAGCTTCTACCGCTTACAACAAGTGCTATTCTGAATGTAAACGGAGTTGTAAGGAGTTCTGTCGCAAGGTGACGGCAAACGGCGCATCTCAAAAACAAATAACACAAGTTACGAAGACAACACATCGCGTACCTAATGGACAGCACAATTGGGAGCACGTGCATCAGCATGGATTTGTGCCAGACCAACAAATCTTATACACACCGGTCCTACAGTCAACGGGGCCCAGCCACCCTCCAGCTATTTATCCTATAGAAACTAATAACGAGCTGGTAAATCCATATGTTCATAGAAATTTGGCTTATAAAGTTCAACCAGCATTGACACCATTATCAGGACAGCCTCTACATCCACAGCCAGTAGCAATCGCTTACTCTCAACAAACACCAAATTTATATAAGGATTCCCAAGTCACGAATATCTTTCCGGATGCTTTATTAGAATCGAGTTATTCTGTTGATGAGTTGACTCGTCTTTTGCAAATGGAAAGTGTTAATAAAGAAGTTGCCAACAGCTACACACAATCAGCCATTCACGGACCTACATATGCCATACATAGCAGCTTACCTCCAACTCCACTTACCACCACACCAATTTACCATCCACTCTCACTGTCTTATGGCTTCCCAATGTCCGTACCGGCCACGGGAGAGCCGAAATATGAAAATAATTCTTCGGAGTCACAATATAAAGAACTCCTGTTAGACGTCAGGCCACAGAGCCATGCGTCATCTTTGATGGCAGCTTCAGACCCCCAGTATGCAAACTATGTGAATAAAATCGGTTTAAGTGAACCACAAGTTTATGATGGGGCATCTCCTCCATCACCACCTTCTCAAGCCAGCAGTGATCAACAGAGTTTAGATACCTTGAGTTATCACAACGCACATGGTGATCATAATACTGAATATCTGAATTCAATTTCCTATGGTTCAGACTATGCGCCACCAACATCGAATTATGCTCCACAACCAGAGCTGAATGCGGCATCGTATTCAATTTAGACCACTTACTTAAAAATTTAAATTTCTTAAAATATTAAGAAATAGTTAGTTAATAGTAAATTATTATAATATGTTTAAAGTAATTAATAAATTAAGGATTTAAAACAATGTCCTCTTTGAGGTTGTCGCAGACTTTTTCGAAGACTTCGACGATAATCAAACAAATCATTACCACCCAAGCGGGGATTATATAACCATTTCAACAACAATAACAACATTGTCGCCGACACGGAGACCTACTTTGGACACCTTAAAAAATTTATTTTTCAGATGGGTTAATGAAGCTGAACATACACAAGTTTAGCTCTTGGAGCAACGCCAAGTCAAGCACTTAATGTCATTTTACATTTACAGCCAACAGACATGTTCCGTAAGCAACTGGCAGCGAAATCAGCTCTTAGACTGAGGGAATCCTCCTAACTAAGATACGGATGGTTTCAATTTTGATAATCGAGAGAGGTGGTGCCTTTTCAGAAAAATTAGATACCAGAATCGTCTTCTCCCTATTAGACTACTGCATTGTCTTCCAAGCGAAGATCACTGCAATTAAAGAAACCATCACCAGCCTAGAATTAGAATCCGGAAGAGAAGGATTTATATGCTTCTGGTTACTTTTCACTGAGTTTCGGTGAAGCCAATCCCTCACTTACTCAACAAGCAAGCAAAGTGGCATGAAGGGAGTAAGGGCCCCATATGCCGACTATTAAAATTAAAAAGGTATTACATAAGAACTCTAGTAGGAGTTCTAACAGGTCATTGTTTAATTGAGAGACATGACACCAGACTAGGAACAGCTCATAATGACTATTGTAAAAGCTGTCAGGATGTAGAAGAACAGGAGACTATAACACATCTTGCAAAGCTGGTAGAGTAGGTTGATTTTTGTTCCGGTGATTCCACCATGGGCCTCCTAAAGGCCTAGGTGCATCGTCAGACAACCACTTTGTCTACCCACCTACCTTATGAAATTGGAGAATCGATCGATGGCATAGCAAAATCAGTGGTATACAATGTTCTGAAACCTTGTTCCTTTACCAGCATCATAATTCGTTGCTCCGTTTTTTCTTCTCAATAACTGACAACATGCATTATTTTCTTTACATTGACGCATTTATATTTCAATATGTATGTGTATGTATGTATAGTATGTACATTTGCATGGCATATTTAATGGGAGATTGCAGAAATATTTACAAATATCATTATAATAAAATGGCACATAAGGGATGCTTTCACAATTTGACTTAAAAACCTTGTTAAAACTTAGCTAATTATAGGATTTATGGCTAAAAACACAAAAAATGCAAGTGTAAATACGAGTAAATGCAACGAATTCCACAAATAACCATGCTTGACGCCACGAAGCTTCGACTTTTACACAAGACCGTCGTATCGAGTATTTCTAGAATATTTATTATATGGTAGTTTCAATTCAGTTTATTCGGAGTTCTAATGATGCAGCAAAGCTGGTGCCAAAATTTTGGTGGCAACTAATTTGTGATGCACTTCGGGAACGGGAATTTTGATATTAGTCGGTTCACGCGAAACAATAGCTTCGAAGCCGCTATGATCATCGGCTTTGTAGCGAACGACACGATGATGGCCATCGGAATCGATCAGTTCATAAACGCCTTCAACGCGGTCTTCCTTGCGTGACTCCTTCTGCGATTTAATATCACCTGTGTGTGGATCGTGCACAGCATACTGGAACTCATAAGCGACCGGGCCATGTTCTTCATGTTGATCACGTAGCTCGACCAAAGCGTGCACGTGCAGAACGGCGATGGCGAGAATGAATAACTAAAAGCGGAGGGATTGGGTGAGTGTTTCGAGAATTTTTATAGTATGTTTGATTTTGTAGCTGCAATATTTACCTTGCGGAACATATTCTAGGTTTTCGCTAAGTAAGTGGATTACTTAATGTGTTTGAACTGTGAAGTCAGCGCTGTAAATTGCAAGCGTGGATTAATTGAATATTGACATCCTGCGCGCTTATTTATACCTAACTACTATATCAGCTGAGCGTTCATACAAGTCGTGCCAGCATACCATTTTGCTCATGTTTCGTAATGGCTTCTTCGGCATATATTGTTTTCTACTTTTTTGTCTGCATACAAGTATACGAGAAAAACTTCTTCAAATATCGAGTTGGGTTGCGGTGAGTTCGATTAGTGTTCGAATACGTTAATTACTAGCAAATGTACGCCTATGTGATCTACTTTAAGAGCGCAGTTTTACGTGTTGCGACACTGATCCACTAAAACATATTGATTCGAACGATAATGCAACAACAACAACATCAACAAAATAGTTTTATACTGTGCGACACGTAACGTATAATGCCAATGCAGCAAAGTGCGCCCCTTCGACACTTGTGCGTGGTACGGCGCTGGCGCAAATTCATTATGCAAATACGCCACCAAGTAGCAGAATATTTGCTGCACACTTATATTCATACATATGTACATATATATATATATATATGTTGCAATCTGCATACTAGTATCACTTATCAAGCGCGGTATGTCCACTTGCGCCGCGTTTATTGCCAAACAAGATTGATTTACACCGCTGCTGCGCCGCGCTGCGCCGCGCTGCTCAAACGTAACCCACAAGCGTTAAAGAAATGTTGCATTTTTCAACTTTTTATTTGAAATTTACTAATTTGCCATAAAGGTACTTCAATAGCGCTTTAAGCTACGCCAGCTGTCACCGATGCTGTCAAATACAAATGCACCAAATTAACGCGCGTTTGTGCGCCAATTAGAGGCGTCCGATATGCATATTCAATCAATTGAGTTCACCTATCTATAACCAGATTCACATACACATATGTCCATGTTCATTTACATAGACACTATTCGATAATTGCGCGTAGCTAAAAAATTATTAGGGATCAAATCCATTAAGCGTTATGACTAGCCGGTTATATTTGGCTATTGCTCCTGTGCCTTAGTTAATTTGCGGCTAACCTTGTAATTTACATATATGGTATACACGTATATATTAATAATTATAATTACTTTTATTGATATGCCCTTGTAGAAGCTTTTTTTAATTCAATATAATATTTGGTTTCGCAGTTAAATGTCAAGGAGGTCCAGACAGTTGAAATGCCGATTTTAATGCAGCTTAAAATATCTAAATAAATTCAAATAAATATTATACATTTGTTTCCTTTTTTGAAAGTTTATAGTATCAACTTCGCGACATACAGTTTTAATATTTATGGAATTTTAGTTGGATTTCTAAATTTAAATAAGCTTTTATATATACATTACATATTGTAGAGCCCACAACCAATCAACTGGTACAATCTAGAAGTCTAAAAGTAATAAAAAACTATTTTTTAATAAATATGTAAAGTAAAACAAACTAAAAAGGTTTAAGAGAGTTTTAAAATCTGCACCGAAGCATGCGAACTGGTAATGGTACCATTGGTCGAAGTTGTGATATATATCGAATCTTTGTAGAAGGCTACGAACTGCTACTCCATTCACCGTGTCCTTAAGATTTCAAACGTAAAAAAGTCACTAGTTGGGCAGAAATTTTAGTCGAACTGCCCTCTACCTGAGAGCAAGCTAGATTTTAACGGTACCAATAGGTCACTGAATGGGTTTTCCTTGATGATATGGCACATATGTTAAACGAAAGACCGTCCCCTATAATATTACGAAATTAATGAAAATTAAAAGATACAAAACATTTTAAAAATATATTTGCGAAAGGTTAGCACCTGTTTAAAAAATTTAAGTATAATATTTAAATTTAGGTTAATGTTGGAGATAACATTGATAATACAGCGAACCCTACAATCCAAGATAATGAGCGCTTACCCCCCAGTAGTAAAACAAGAAAAAACATAACTGCGGCAACACCGAAGCTGAAAGGTGTAAGGCCAACTGTTTGCATCCTATGGAAAAAAATTGCTAATTCTTTTTAGTGATTTTGTTTGAATTAACAACCTTCAAGTCAAGATCTTTTAAAACGATTTTTATCTTGATTTTGATCTGTCAGTTTATATGGCAGCTAAATGCTCCAGTGGTCCAGTTAGATATAGGATTATATACATGTATATAAATAATCTGGATGAAGAGACGAGTTGAAATATGGGTGACTGTCTGTCCATCCGTCCGTCTTTGCAAGCTGTAACTTGAGTAAAAATTGAGATATCTTGATGAAACTTGGTACACGTTTATTGACACCGTAAGAAGTTTGGCATTGTATTGTAGATGGGCGTAGTCGACCCACTGCAACACTTACGAAACGCCATTCATCAAAAACCAATAAATTGCCATTACTAATAAATTGCCATTACTTACTCATAAGTGTGAAAATGGGTGAAATCGAGTGATAACCCCGCCTACTTTTTTGATTAAATTTTTGATACAGTTTTGATTAAAACTACTAAAAGTGCGATAACTTATTAAATAAACAAGTCAGAGACTTTTTAATTTTAAATATAGAAAGGTAAAATTAAGCTTTATTGGAGCTAATTCAGATATTGGACAATGGGCGTAGCCACGCCCACTTTTAGGTGAAAACCCATATCTCGTGATCTACTTGCACGATTACAACCAAATTTGATACATAACATTATTCTGACATGCTTATCTTACAGTGCAAAAATTGACGAAACTGGGTTCACACATGCCTACTTCCCACATAACACAAATTTTAGTTCCACCTGATTATGCAAATCAAGCACTAATGAATAGTGTCCGTGGTTGACTTTTTACCGAAATTATCGTTCATTGTATGCGATATATATTTGAAATTTGGAGAGAACCCTTTTCTGATATTATTATGTCTGTGTGTCAAAAATGGATTGAATCGGGTCAATACTTTTTATTTTTTTATTTAATTTTATACCGCATATATCGGCCAATATGTCAGATATCTTAATAAAATTGATCGGACATGTTTTTCTAATAACGGTGCATCTGTGAGCCAAAAATTAATGGATTAAATCTGGTGAAGACTTGCCTTAATCCCCATATAACTAATATCAGAAGTTTCAAACATCCGGTTGACTTTACTACTTACGAGTATATATTGTTGATGGGTATATGTATGATTGATGTCAAAACGACCGGTTGCGTCATTTATTTATAATATTTTAGGATAATGTTATAATTTTTTATTAAATTTGTGTATATAATAATATTATATTATAGATTATTTTGTCCTTACGCTTCTAATCTTCAGAGAGAGAGAAAGTCCTATTTGAAATAGGTATATGGTAAATCTTCGTAGTTCTAGTGTTAATGAAACTCAGAGAGCATCTGTTTCTGTTAATAATATGTAGTAATGCCAAAAGTAGATAAAATCGGCTTAATTATACCCCTATCTTTCATATAACAAACATAAAATGTTTAAACTTCGGGCTGGCTTTATACCGGTTATATTTACTAATACACATGTACGATATCTTATCAAAAATATCTGAAATTATATTATACTATAATACATAAGTAACTTTCGTGCAAGTTGCAAAAATTTGAATTGTTCGGTTACACCCGAACTTAACTCTTCCTTACTTGTTTGATTTTAGCTTGGTTAGGATGTGTAATTGCAAACCATTAAATGTTAGAGCTAATAACAAAATATCTACATATACTATGTATATATTTCTAGATCAAGAGTGCGACTGAACAAATAGATGATAACAAAGGATTATGACCTGAGTACTATCGATAGGTTACAATCAGGAATGAATTAATATGCAACACATAACTTTGGGATACAAAAAACAATTACTAACAATAGTTGTACACTTTCGGGTCGGCCGTCATAAGACCAACTCTGACTTATAAGCACTAGTTTTGTAGCCAGCATTAAAGAAACAATAAAAAAAAATTAAAATTAAATAGAATACCAAGAGCAGTCTGTGCTGGGGTTACCGGGGCTATTAAGTCATGTCCGACCAAGGCGTTTAATATGCTCCTACATCAACTGCCCACTCGGAAAGAAGCTGCAAGTTCTAATATCAAAATAAATGAATTAGAAGGTTGTAAAAGGAAAGATTATAGACATAGCGTCATCCCGAACCTGCTAAACCTAAGTAAATCAAACCATATCCTCCCAAGGTTTGATTTCAATAGCCACTTCCGGGTGAGGTTAACCTCTGGACGGGAATGGAGAAGAGGTTTAGTAGGGGCGAAGGATAATACCTCTATTTATACCGACGGTTCCAAAATGGACTACGGAGTAGGGGCGGGGGTATACTCCATTGACCCTGGCATCTATTTTTTTCTATTCGTCTACCAAACTCAGCCAGTATCTTCCAAGCGGAAGTTAGGTTGGGAGGTCGATCCTAAGTAGGATCTCACTTGGACGGCCTATAACAAGTTTGTTGAGACGGCTAATATCCGTTTCGACTTCTGGTTCGCCGAATGTATGAAAACCGAGATGTTTTAGTCTCAGTCTTGCAAAAACCGGACAGTGGAAGAGAAAGTGCCTGGATTTTTCACCTCACCCTCCTCCATACAACTTTGACAACTAGCATCGGGTAATATTTCCCGTTCCCGTATGAATGCCCATTGGAGAGTGCCCAGTGAGAACTCCTACCTTAGCGGCGTGATGAAGTTTGCTCAAGGCGGGAAGTTCTCTAGATCTCTTGCATTCCATTCTCGGCCAGAAGGATCTCGGGGTCACCCTGAAGATGGTCGTCGACCAGCGCCTGCTGAGTGAACGCGGGGCCAGCACGCAAGAGCGGGGCAAGGGGACCCACCTTGGCTTTGCAGTGGCCAGCAATTCTGTTGTGCCCAGGCACCCAAACGAGCCTAATGTTAAAGTAGCTATTTCTAGTGAAGACAGACATTCCTTGAATAGTTTTGAATGCACGGTTCGCGCGCTCAGAGCATGTACAGCCGCTCTGCTGTCGGAGTGAATGCTCACTTTTCTAAACGAGGCTTCATAGCGTACGTCTACTGCCACCTTGATAGCAGAAACTTCCGTATGAAAAACACTACAGTAGTCCGGTAGCCAAAAGCTAAGATTGATGGAACGGACTCCTTACAGAAAACCCCCACCTCCCCCATCCCATCCACACCTCCCTCTTCAAAATATGAGCAGAGAAACATCCACCTCGAGTGGCCTCTGTGACGCAGTGATCCAAATTTTCAGGAATGCAGCTGAAAGAGGAGAGAATTTCGGCATGTCCTTGTTCGGATCTCTTCATAAACCAAGCTTCCCAGAGCCTTAGAGCACACTTCGCAGCAATACACCTGCCGGCAACATCCATAGGTGCTATGTTTAAAATAACATTAAGAGCTTTTGTTCGTGTTGTCCGTAGTCCACCGCTCAAGCTTTTTAGCAGGTGTAGTCCAGCAATATAAGGCAACCGGTGCCTTCCCAAATCTCTCCTCAATTTTTGACCTCCAAAAAAGCTTTCTATCAAAGATAAACCCTAGGTATTTCACCTTATCAACAGGTTGAAGACGTGAACCCCCGAAAGAGGGGAGGGGCACGTTTGCGATCTTATATCTCCTAGTAAATCATTTCGGTTTTACTTGAGTTGACGGCTAGGCTACTTCTATTTGCCCAGTTGGATACCAAGTTTAGGTACCCTTCATTTAGCTTGTAGACGGTATTTAGGAATTTTCTTTTAACCATAAGAACCACACCGTCAGCGTAGGCTATCCCCCGACAGCCTCGTTCGATTTCGATTCCACCTCAAACTTTTCAAAGGCTTTACCCACTGCCTCTGGCCGCACCTTTTTGAAGGCCCCCTCGATGTCGAGAAAGGTGTTCACAGCAAATTTCTTGTGCATAAGAATGCTAAGTGTTGTCGTCCGACCTGCCTTTGATATAGGCATGCTGCGTCCTTAACAGTTTACCCCTCGGTATTCTGCTCCTAATGTACAGATCCAAGTGAAAGTACTAGCTATAGAAAAAGCCTTTGGAGCTTTATTGAATAACTGTGGGAGGATACAAAAAGCAACCATACGCACAGATAGCCAGGCGGCATTGCTGGCCTTGTCGACGCCACAGATTAATTCCACCGTAGTCAACTATTGCTGGAAGGCTTTAAGCTAATTGGCAAATAAACCTCACTTGTCCATAATTTACGTTCCCGGTCACAAGAACATTCTTGGCAACGAATAGGCAAACGAGTTGGCAAAACAAGTAGTTTCTTTTGACGATTTCGAGGAGGAGTTATTACCATGCCCACTGAGAATGATCAAAAGAGAGCTTTATATGCATTTAGAACAAATAGCTCAGAGCAGATGGAAATTAATAACAAACTGCAAGATATCAAAGCAGATATGGCGCAAGTATGACAGGACCAGAACCAGGAGCTTCTAAATAGGCTTAAAGCATTATTTGCCACAGCTACAAGGCAGAAGGGAATAAGGAAATTTAGCTCTATCACAAACCCGACACAAAATGGGGTAGCAAGATGATAAGGACATACGATAGTGCATCAAAATGGCGCATTCAGCTCAAATTGAGCGCATTTCTGGTAAGATCAAAAGTCTTCATACTTATCCCATTTTTTGGAAGGTAAAAACAGTTAATAGGAATACCACCAAAACGGCAAGATCGGCAATTGTTTGAAAACTGGTCCTATATAAGTAGAATTGCGAATCATTAAGGAGGTTACATAATTTTGAGAAATTATTTTCAGACGCAATTACATATCATTAGCATAGTTTATAAGGTGCTACCTATTTCATAATTAACTAAATGACATTTGGTAATTCAGTTTGAGACAAATTTTCGTTTGAAATTCAGATCAACTGTCAAATTCGTCGCAGCAGCTTGATTAAGCAATTAACGCGGCAAAGTAATGTATCTAATTCTATATGTGTAACGGTATATACATAGGTCTGAGTGTGACAAGATTTGGAATTCATGCTGTCTGCGGGAGAGTTCAGTAACTTGTATAGACACCGAACACTATGTGCAAATATTTAGCAACAATTTACTATCTAAGTCGACAAACCGGCAGCCCACACAACGCCGTCTGTCTACGCGTTATTTAGCACGAATAAGTAGAAAAAGGACGTGAAGTAGTAACTAGAGGACACATGCCAGCCAACACGTGCCGGTAACGGTAAATGTATATTAATAAGTGTAAAATATACTGTCGGCTCTCAACTCTTGCCCCCAACGACGGCAATGCCGGTAGCGTGCCGCAGCAGTTTCGTGTTATCACTTCGTTTTTCCAACCATTTTATTGCCTTTTTCTGTGCTTTATGCGGTATTAATTTAAACTGCTTTGGGAAATTTAATCATTCAAATTATTTTATTAACACGCTATGGTCTTGCAATATTTAAGTGTAGTATCTCGTTCTTGTAACTTGTTCAAAAGTGGGGCATCAATAGATTTTTGTTAAATAAAAAGAAATATAATTTCGTGCTTCGTGGGGGACAAAAAATGTGTGTGCATAATATAATATATTATATAAGTAAATATGTATATGTAAAGTTCAGGCTTAGAAAGATTTTCTGCAGATCTTTTAATCAAAAGAAATACCCTTCGAGACATTTTCACAGTTCTCACGAATATCGGATCTACGCAATCGGAACGAACCCAGATTGACTGATTTTACTAAAAGCTCTAAGTTCGACAGCATCCCTCAAAATTATTAGAGAATATTTTCCGACCCTAAAACAATAACCATAATTTCAAAGAAGCAGTGAACTGAATTTCGAAGATACGATCAGCAGTACTTCTTGTTCAACATCAATCAGTTTGCAATGCGGTTGAAAGTATAAGTAGTTGTGTATATTTTATCCACGCAAAAACTATTATTATTTAATACTTCACGATTAGAATAAAAAGTAAATAAATGAAAAATAATATTTATTACGAAAAGCTAGTAACTACTTTCCTACTTTATACCAAGTATAATGAAAAATCGGAAGCAGTGTGTCTCACTTCGGTCGACATCTATTATGTACTCGAGATTTTAAGAGTTCTCGTCGCAATTGATTGCTTTCGGCTGCTGCATTCTCAAGCATCTGCAACAAAGAAGCTTTCTTAGAGGGCCGTCTTAAAAATTTTTAATAATTTTTGCACTTACGTCATGCGTCATGACTGCTCGTTCGAGTGATTCGTTATCTGCGTCATCATTAGGCAAAGATTCGTTGGAAGAAGAAGACGCGGTACGGCGAAGTAGCATACTACGCACATTTCTTGATGTCCGCTTTGCTGGAGCACTTATATCATCTGCTACATCTGCCGTATAACCTGGTAAAGGTTCCTCAAAATCCGTTGGTGGTATTGAACTTGCAGTCGCACTCGTAGTGTCTCTTTGTTTGGCTTTCAAAGCAGATAATTCGTTGCGCATATGTAGCATTTCCTGCTCCATATAGTCGATCTGCATACACAGCGAAAGAGCGACAGAGAAAATACAGCGTTAAACTAAATTTTTGTTATCTAAAGTGTAAAGAAATGTGAAATTCATACACTTTCTAGTTCAAATTCAAGTTCATCGATTATGTCATAGGCTTCGTCCAGCGCCGTCTGTAGTTTGGTCACCTGTTTTTCCAGATTTTCCGTTTGCGTCTGGTCAGCCAACGCTGTGTGGTTTATAATGGCATCAATTATCTCTTCATATTTTATTTATGGGAGTGGTGAAATATGTTATCCACATGCCTCACTTACCTTGAGCGCGTTGACTTAGTGCCGATTTCATCACTAAACCGGACAACGTCTTTTGCCGCTTGAATGTATCCTCCAATGCTTTGCAACGCTGCACCTTCTCCAAATACGCAGCATGCAATTTGTTATATTTTCTTTTTAATCTCTCCAAATTATCATACATTTGATCACGTTCATCTTCGAGTCGTAAAGCTTCAATTTTTGCCTCGACATTAATGGCAGCTGCACCGTTGAGACATGAGAGCTTTTGGCGCAGTAAATTATTCTCCTCTTGTAGACGTGCATTTTGAGCGGTAACTGAAATCAGAGCAGAAAGAAGTAAAATTAACTATTTGTTCAACATTTGTTTAGTGAGTAATTTGAGAATGGATTAAAACCCTAATATCACTATTCTAATATTTTTAATTATGGCCTATTACCGCTGACAGTATTTATTATAGATACCCTACCTAGAAATAGTTACTATCTACCATAACTTCATAGACAAAAATCGGTCCAATACACACAGCTTCCTGAGCTTTAAGTGCTATTGTTGGAGTAGTCCACGTGCACCGGAGATGCCGATGAGAGCCGCTCTTTTGACACGTTCAAGTTTCTTAGTAAAAGAAGCTTTTTGGAACGCCCTACCCCAAACGACTACCGTCCCCACCTTTTCATATAGCTCATCTTCAGCAGGCCAGGCAACTGATGCCTTCCTTTCTCTCTCTTCAATATATGACCTCCATAAAAGCTTTTTATATTATTCTATTATTGATAAGCCCTAGGTATTTCCGCTGATCAACATGTTAACGACGTCAGTCTTCGGATGAGGAGAGAAGAACGGCTTACCCAAAGGTAAATAAAACTATTTTAGTTGAATATATTGAAAGAAACATTTGATGAGAGCATTATCTCGCGTCGTGGGCCTGTGGCATGGCCTCCAAGATTGAGCGATTTAACACCGCTGCACCAGTTTTTGTGAGGTTATGTAAAGTCGCTTGTCTGTGCAGAGACGATTGACGCCTTTGAAGAGAGTATTCGGCGCGTTATTGTTGACATTTATAATAAAGCTGAATTCTTAGCCATAAGATTATCCATAACTGGCTTGATTAACACAGTGAACCTTAAACCTCATGTATAACTAAAGAATTACTCATATTAATTTTGAGCAGAACTTCTAAAATGAAAGAACACATATAGATCTCTCAATATTTAAATGCTCTTTAGATTTCTTCACTTCTTTCCGCTGACATTTTTTGAAAATCGAAATAATTCCCTTAATTATCTCAAACTATTTGTCGAAGTAACGCTCTCTTACACACATTAGATGCATTGCTCACTTTGCGCATATTAGTATATTTGGATATTTGTAAAGTCAATAAACGATTAACCACTCACCAACTTCCAATTGCGCTCGCAAAAACTGATCGCTGACATTTTTACGCTGTAACTCCGCCATAATTTTACATTTAAATGAATTGCTTTTTTTCAATTTTCTATACAAATGTATAACTAACCGATCTAAAATAGTTTTAAAAAATTTTTCTACTTTTAATTGCAACCGAATATCAAAGAATTTATCACGATCAACTCTTAGCACTGTCTCCTTTGGTTTCAATTTGTTGTGTACTTCGCTAGCCTTAGTTTCTAAAGAGCGAGAAATATCGCTTATCGATTGCGTCAAATTCGTACTGATAAGCAGCAATGTAGGGAAAACCTTTTGGCCCGAAATTGAGTAATTTACTGGCGAGAACGAAAGCTTTTTTTACCTTTTCACAACCACTGGAGCTTTATCATTACAAACTAGCAAAGCGTAAATCTGAAGATGTGTCGGGTAACGAATTCACACAAATTGATGCTATAAAACCTTCAACACTCTTTTGTGGTTTTGTTATTTTGTTATATTTTTCAAAAGCTTCACTCTTAGAGACATTTTAACTTCTTATATACTTAATTCATTTACTTGTTTCGTTTACAAAAATTATTGGGAAGATTTATGTCGTTCAGCTGATCATACAGTTGTAATCAAAAGAACTCGATATTATCATGAGCTGTTTAAATCTGCAGTAGCAACAAGAAAAAACGTTAACTTCTATAAATTATCAGATTGATATCTCAAAAACGGAGGGACTTGTACGCGTATCAGAGGTTTTACCAGTCCCGGAATTACAAGTATATACCTAACGAACTAAGTTTAGTGAGTCCGCCTTATAAACTGTACAGTTCGAAAATAGGTGAACTATTATATTTTGAAAGCAATCTATCTATTTCAATTGTTCTCTCTGTATATGTTATCTTAAGGGATTTTATTCTAGAAATGCAAATCTCAAACCTGACACTTTCAACCGCAACGACGACATTCTTTGATCACACCATTAACTGATTTAAAAACTAATTTAAATGCTGTTTGGGGCACTTACGCAGATACCTTACGCTCCAACCGAAGTTAAAGGAAATAAATTAAAATAGATATGTTTTATGGAATATTTCAACCAGTAATAATTTTTCAACAAAATTAAAATTGCTTACTAAGATTTCAAAAGATAAAATAATAAAGTGAAAACTTGTCTTGCTATACATAATCCTTCTGGGTCTCTGAGTCTCTGGGACTCAAAATCAATACTTTGAAATAGTTTTAAATATGGATAATAGTTGCATAATTCTAAAAACTAACTCCTCTTACGAACGACGTAGTTTTTTGCGCACCATTATCTTCACAAGTTCAACGATTCCTATTTGACTGTCCAAACTTTGCGAAATTATATCTGAGACACGTAGGATCCTTTGCCGTCATAGTGAAAGGAATCAATTTTTGATCGGGTCAAAGCGCTTTGTCGATACATGAACCAAATTTAGGAATTTTCTGGCATCAAAAGGAAGGGTGATGCCCAACTTAGTTCTGGATATTTTAGCAGGCTAAATTCCTGCTTATGTAGACTATACACTGATACATATTTGTATATGTCCTTCATGCAAAGGGAATTCACATTACATTAATCACCACTTTAGTTCCACCCTGGCGAGCCAGCTTGTTTCCTGGAGCTACCTTTAATTGACCTCAACGGCAACCGAGTTGCCTTTCCTCCAGATAGGGTCATAGAGAACCATTAAGACAACAACCGACTTAGGGATCGAAAATGGGATCTGTCATAGTGATAAACGACATCTTACCTGTTTATAAATCTTCTTCTCAATGTGACCCATCCGTCTAACTTTTCCGATGATATCTAGAAGCTTTTTAGTAAGTATAGTGAAAAGCTTCTGGAGATATCTATTTAGCAAAACTGTAAGCGCTAATTGTATGGAAATCTAACAACTCACCTTCATTGTAAGGCAATTACAATAATTCTAATAGAAAGTCGTTTCCAACCCATATTCAACTTTTAACTGCTTTCATCGGGCTTGTAGATACAATGTACTTTGAAGCCTCACTGAGTTCAATTTAAAGCTGTTATTTAAATTTTTTGTTAGTAGTTCTCTGAGGATTCACGTTGACTGCCGATAACGTTGGCCACTTAAAACGTCTTCTTCGAAAAACTTGCCATTTATGTATATAACGGTACTTTAAGCATTTAAAAAATAATTTTCGAGCTCTTACAGAACTGTCACTTATTTGTTAGTATTATTGTACCCTAAACAGGGTATATTGAGTTTGCCACGTAGTTTGTAACATCCAGAAGGAAACGTCGGACACCTGCATATGTACATAAATGATCCGCGAGGCGAGCGGCGCCGATCTAGCTATGGCCGTCTGTCTGTCTGTCTGTATATACGCGAACTAGTCCCTCAGTTTCTGAGATATCGATCTAAAATTTTGCACACGTCCTTTACTCCGTGGCCGGCTGCCACGCCGTACATAGACGTAATGATCCTTAGCATATATGTAGCTGCCATACAAACTGAACGATCAAAATCAAGTTCTTGTAAGGAAAACTATTTTATTTGACAAGGTATCTTCACGAAATTTGACAATTATTGTCCAAAACAACAACAAAAAATCTCCGGAAATTATTCAGATCAAACCACTATAGCTTATAGGTGACATACAAAATGACCGCTCAAAATCAAGTTTTTGTAAGAAAACTGAAACTGTATTATAGCTTCAATTCAAAGCTTCAGTATTGTTGCTCACCATATGTCAATAGATCTGGACTTTAGCAAATTAAAAATCGAAATTCCATTTAATTTTCTTCACTAATTTTATTGCATTTTTTCTTAAATATTTATTGTATTATATTTGCAGATTAGCTAGGATCGGCTAAATATATATGTGTGTGTACACTAAAAGTACCTCCCCCACACTCTCCCTCTCTTTCTTTGCAGCCGACGAGGGCGCACTTAAAGTACAGTTTCATTAACATTTACATAGTTGTTTTTTTTTGTTCCCGTTTTTGTTTGTTTTGCTTAATAAACGGCAATACAAAAGTGCACATTAGTTTACATATACAATTCATCAGTTTCATTTGTATGTATGTATTTCATTATATTTTAAAATATTTATATTTATTTTTAAAATCACATTTATTAAAACTACTAATAGAGACGACTTTTTAGTTGTCCCTTCACTTTCAGTTAGTTTTTGTCATCAAATTGCAATTTGCCTTGGACTCAATTTTAGCTTTATCTGCTCGTTATTGGATTTTGCAAAATTTAGCAGAGTTTAGTTACGCATACACGGTGTAGCATTATGTTGTGCTGTATGAATTTTTTTAACGTGTCACAGTTGTTCTTATAAAATAGTTATACTTACAATTTTAAGTTTCAGCATTTCTTGTTGTATATTGGTATGTGTGTATGTGTGTACATACTTATATATAAGTGTTTACATGAATGTATGTATGTATGCATTTTTAAGGCAATATAATTGTTATTTATGCTCCTAATTCATTTAAAGTTTATAATTATGTTTTTTATAGATAGGTATGCATATACATATGTTAGGGTGAGCCCAAAAAAAATACTTTAATTTTTCTCCTTAGCTATGACAAAAATATTGTACGAAAAAGTAAGAAGAAACGTTTTCTTCGGTTGCATATATGTGTGCTATAGTGATTCGATCTGAACAATTTCTGCGGAGATTACATTGTTGCTTTAGAAAATAACTCATGCCAAATTTTGTGAAGATTCCGACCGTTCAGTTTGTATTGCAGCTACAGGTGTCCGATATTGGTGCTTCCAACAAATGAGCAGCTTCTTGGGGAGAAAAGGACTTGAGCAAAATTTCAGATCGATATCTCAAAAACTGAGGGACTAGTTGCGTATAAACAGACAGATGGACATTACTTAATGAATTCAGCTCGTCATGCTGATCATTTGTATATACACGTTGCCTTCTGGGTGTTACAAACTTCATGGCAAACTTAATATACCCTGTTCAGGGTACAAAGATTGAGGTCGTAATATTAATATTAAGTGTTTTCGCTTTGTGATTTTTGCCTTCCCATATGTATAAAATGTACCAAAAGTTTTGTTTCGTCATGTTGGACGATATGTTTGCCGTATTTAAGGAAAAGATAAAACATTTTTTTTTTGGCACACCCTAATATATTTATCTGCATAATCCAGCATATTATGTACTTTAAGTGTATATAATATATACATATGTAAGTAATTACATTGCATTTACTTATTTGGTGCAATATATGTATATTATTTCAACTGGCTTGCTTGAACTACTCATTCATTAAATTTATTTTCGAAATCAGTTTCGAACATACTATTATGTATGTATGTATATACGAGGTTTGTTCAAAAATTATTGCGAATTTTTCTCAAAGCATTTGAAAAAGTCATTTTGTGTGATTCGGTTCAGCTTTTCCTTCGGTGCAGTTTTCATCTCCTCAATCGTAGCGTAGCGTCTTCCTTTTATGGGCCTCTTCAGTTTTGGGAACAAAAAAGTCACATCGGACCAGGTCAGGGGAATACGGTGGCTGCGGCCACGATACGTAAGCAGGGGCGTTATTATGGTGCAAAAGCCAATTTTTGTTCTTTCACAAAACTGGTTTATTGCTTCGCGCAAATTGCGCATAACTTGCAGGTAATATTTTTTATTGACCGTACGACCCTTTGGCAAGAACTCATGATGCACGACGCTCCTGCAATCGAAAAAACTGTGGGCAAAACCTTCATATTCGACCGAACTTCGCGTCTTCGTCGTTCACATCTTCTCGACCCACTGAGAACATTTTGTACCACCGTCCGAGCACTTAATTTTGTTTTTCACCCATAATTTATTTATAGAAATTCTTTGATTCAATTTTTGGAAAAGCCAAAATCGAAGACCAACCAAAATGCGTCCTATCAAAATAGCTGTTAAAAATTAACTAAACATTCAAAATGGCCGATCTTGTCAGGATAAGTAAGGAATATAAGTAGTATAAGCGGAAATTCAAAGTTCGCTATAATTTTTGAACAAACCTCGTATATTTATTACTCTTTCCTGCACTATCATATAAAACTAAACTACAGCAACATATTTCTTATACTAATTGACATACTATGTTTTTAAGTTATATTATTGGACCATATATTGGTCTCAATTGCCTGCTTACTATTATTTATTCTTTATTTTAAAGTGATAAAGGGACTTTCATATATAATTCTGATAAATAATTATGAATTATTTCGAAATTTGTGATATTTTTGGCATTGAGATTTTATGAAAAGATTTTTTCTGGTCTGGTTACACTTACTGTTGAAGTGCTGCTACTATAAGAAAAAATTTGCCATCGAAA